CTCCTCCAAAACAACTGATCTCACAGTTTTGCTCTTCCCAGAGTATCACATAAATGAAATGAGATGGTTCTAGTCTTTTGAGGCTAGCTTCTTTCATGCAAGCATAATGTATTTGAGACGGTCCGTACCATTATGTATATCAGTAGTTCTCACAGCTGAGTAGCTGTCCATAAACATTCACGAACATATTTTTGTGTCAATATAACTTTTCATTCCATTTGAGTAAACACCTAAGAATGAAGTTTGCTGGGTCACATGGCAAATGCGTGTTTTAACTTTCCGAGAAATTGCTGAACTGTATTTGAAAGTGACTACCAGTTCTCATTCCTACCAGTAAGGTGTAGGAGTTCTAGTCTTGTATTTTCACCAGTGTTTGATGTTATAGCTCTTTTTTCTTTTCTTTTCATTTCATTGTTAACTTGATTTACCTTTAGTTATTCTGATAGTGTATAGTAGTTATCTCCCTGATTTTTAAATTTGCATTTGCCTGATGGCTAATGAGGGTGAACATCTTTCCATGCTTATTGGTTATCCTTCTGTCTTTTTTTGTGAACCATCTATTCAAGATTTTTTGCTCTTTTAAAAGATAGGCTGTTTGTTTACTGATTATTGAGTTTTGAGAGTCCTTTATGAATTTTGGGTACAACTCTCATCAGATATGTTACTTGGAAATAATTTTTCCCATACTGTGGCTTGTTGTTCATTATCTTAAGTATCTCTCTCTCTCTTTTTTTTTCCTGAGATGGTGTCTCACTGCGTTGCTCATGCTAGCTTGAACTCCTGATCCTCCTGCCTCAGCTTCCCCAGTAACTGAGATTACAGGTCCATACTAGTTTTACAGTGTCTTTTTAAGAGTAGATAATTTTAGCCAGGGGTGACTGCATGTGCCTGTAATCCCAGTGCTCATGAGGCTGGGTAGGGCAGGAGGATGCTCAAAAGTTCAGGGCAGCCTGGACTACATAGTGAAACCTTCTCTCAAAAAACCAACAAACAAAAGAGCAATATTTTTAATTTTGATGAAGTCTGGTTTATCTTTTTTCCCCTTTGATCATATGTGTTTTGGGTGTGATAGCCAAGAAACCATTGCTTAATTCAGTGTCATGAAAACTTATTTCTATCTTCTTTTCTAAGAGTTTTATAGGTATACCTCTCACATTTAGATCTCTGATCCGTTTTGAGTTAATTTTTATACATAGTGTGAAGTAAAGTATCCACCTTCATTCATTTGCCTTAGCTAGCCAGTTACCCCAGCATCATTTGTTGGAAAGGCTGTTCTTTCCCCATTAAGTTGTCTTGGAATCTTTGTAAAAATTAACTAGCCATAGGCTGGGGATGTAGCTCAGGGTTTGCCCAGCATATGCAAGGGCAAACCCTGGGTTCAGTCCCTAGTATTCCTTCCCTGCCCCCATCAGCTAGCCATGAATGTAAGATTTAATTCTGGGCTCTCAATTCCATTCCCTTGAGCTGCATCTCTATTCCTATGGCAGTTACTGACATACCCAGTGTAGCTGTATAGTAAGTCTTGAAATTGAGCAGTGTCTTCTCTCTTCATCTTTTTCAAAGTTGTTTTAGCTATTCTCCTTGCTTTGATCGCAGTTGTTTCATCTATAGATCAGTTTGGGGGAATTTGACATCTAAAACAATATTGTCAGATACCAGGTGTTTGCCATCACATGGTATACACCTGTTCATTTTTATTTAGGTCTTTTAAATGTTCTTTTGTCAGTGTTCCCTAGCATTCAGTGAACAGGTCTTGTACACGTCTCATTAGATTTATACTTTACATGCATTTTGGTGCTATTTAAATGCTATTTTGACATTTTTCACTTCTGATTGTTTGTTACTTATGGATAGAAACACAGCTGCTCCTTTCTATGCAAAAGCAAATGGATAGAAATACAATTGCTTATATCCTATGACTTTTCTAAACTGGCATTAATTCTGGCCGTAGTTGTTTTGTAGATTCTTTAGGTTTTTCCACATAAGTAATCAGGTTTTCTCTAAATAGTGAGTTTTATTTTTCTTTTATAGTTTTTATGTGTTTTCTTTCTTTCTTTCTTTCTTTCTTTTTTTTTTTTTCCAGTACCGGGAATCGAACTCACAACCTTGTGCTTGCTGGGCAGGTGCTGTGCTGCTGAGCTAAATCCCCAGCCCTGTGTTTTCTTTCTTTCTTGTGTCTTATTATATGGTCTACAATCTCCACTATAATGTTGAATAGGAGTGATGAGAGGACATAAGCTTGCTTTGTTCTCTGTTCTAGGGGAAAACAGTCTTCATTAAATGTGATGTTAGCTGTAGGTTTATGTATATGTCATTGATCAGGTTAAGGGGCTTTCCTTCCATTCTTAATTTGGTGAGTTTTTAAAAAATTATGGAGATGTGCTGCATTGTCAAGAAATTTTGTGACTATTGAAATAACTGTACAGTTTTTCTGTTTTAGTCTGTTAATATGGAGGAAGTGATTGATTTTTGAAACTGAACCAGCCTTCGTTCCTGGGATATGCCTCACCCAGGCGTGTTGTGTTACCGTGATGTCCTGAGTTCCTGGATGTCCTGTCTCAGTTCCTTATTCTCTCCTTTCCGGTTCATCCTATTTCTACTATTTCTATCATCCGGCACCGTCCTCTTTCCTTTCAGCTCTCCCCTATCTAGAACACCCTTCAACTTTCACCTCTTTATCGCTCTCTCTCCTCCCCTCCGGTTGGCAGTGCCTGGTGACTTCCCAGAGACCTGTACAGCAGGGATCTCCTTACCTTGTCATAAGTAGGTTTTTCTGTGCCATATGTTACGTGGAATGATGGTGATGGACTTCTAGGGTGGATGGGTTGAGGTGGGAGGTGGTGGGGCCCGCAGGTCAGCAGTAGTAGCCAGCAGAAGTGGCAGGGCTGGTCATCTGAGCAGCTTGCCCCTTTCACACAGGCACATCCAGGAGACATGTGGGGGCTCAGAGCACTTTGCATCCAGGAGAGAGCCAGACTTTGAAGTGAGAGAAAGTCTCTTTCTCTTTACGGCCCAGGACAGGCTCACGGTCATAGCTGGCATAGCACTCACATGGCCTCCAGGTCAGGGCTGGTGGAGGACCCTAGTGAGGGTCAGAACCACCTCCAATTTGTGGTGGGAAAGCCTTCAGGTAGAGCGTGGACCTGAGGTAAGGGCAGAGCTTAGGTTCCAGAGACAAAGATGTTCTTAGAGAAGAGTGTAGAAATCATTTTTTGGGCCATTGCAAAGTGACCTAAGTCCCAGAAGATGGCTCTTGGGGAGCAAGTACCTTCCTCCCCTTGGGGCTAAGGGCCAACCCAGGCTTCCCAAAGGATGGAGGGGTCTCATTGGAGGGTGTGGGGATGATCTGATGTTAGCTGTCTGGGGTTGGAGCTAAGAGTCAATTTGTGAGGAGAGAGACTGAATGTAGTTCAGACCCCTACAGCCTGGAAGGCTGAGTGTCTTTGGCTGAAGCTTTCATTCCACATGGCCCAAAGCGAGGGCAAGACCAAAGTGAGCATGCTCAGATTCCTGGGAACTTTACCTGCCCAAACTCTGAAATGTGCTACATAAACTTATTTTTGTGGAATGTGTTATATTGTTTTGTTTTCCTTTAGCTTTTCTTCTTTTTTTGGTCTTTTTGAGACAGGGTCTAGCTATGCAGTTCAGGCTGGCCTTGAGCTCACTCTGTAGCCCAGGCTGGTCTCAAACTTGTAATGATCCTCCTGCCTCAGCCTCCCAAGTGCTGGGATTACAGGCGTGCGCCACCACGCCTGGCTCCTTTAGCTTTTCAGTAAATTTCCCTCAAAAAAGTACCCACCTTGTCTCTGCTGACAGAAAAGGTGATGGTGTTCTTCCACACACATGCATGTCTCAGTCAGCTTGGAGAGGGGTTGGTGAGGAGCAGAGGAAATGGCAAATGCCACCAGCATCTCTAGGGTTGTCAGGGAGCCTTGGGATGGTACAAAAGAGTAGCGGCCTGGGGAGGAAGGAGCTGAGGGTGCTGATCCCCACTGGCCAGGCCCCTTATCCTTCCTGCATTCCCCAGACTGTTTAGCACAGTGCTGTGCTCGGTGGGGACTGGCATGTCTTGGGTTCCTGGGAGCTGATCTCTGAGATTAATCAGCCAAGGCTTCTCTACAAAGGGCAGCTCTTTGTACCATGCAGGACTCAACTACACTTTCAAAAGTGAAATCCCACCACCCTTAAGCAACCTTTCTTGCAGTGGCCCCACAGCTTCCAGCAGACCTTTTGTTATTGTGGGTGCATTCCATATGTTTATTCAGTAATAACTTTTGTTATTGTGGGTGCATTCCATATGTTTATTCAGTAATTCTGTGTCCTTAGGGCCATACTTTATTATAGGCCTGCTGAGCTTTGAGCTTGGAGGACGTCCACAATCCAAAACAGTTATGTTCGGCTACTCCCAGCATTCATCTGTGTATTAGCTTTCCCATTGGTGGTTCACAATACCTAATGGCTATAACTTAATGAAAGAGAGGTTTAATTAGGCTCACAGTTTCAGAGGGCTCAGTCCCTGAATAGACAGCTGGCTCTAAGGCAGAAAGATCATGGCAGAAAGGCATGGTGGAGCAAAGCTGCTTAGTTCACAGTGTCTGAACTAAGCAGGGAACAGTGCAAGAGCCAGAGCTGTATATCCTCCAAAGTCATGCCTTTGGCGATTCACCTCCTACAAGCAGACCCTACCTCCTTAGAGCACATTAATCTATTAACTCATCAATGGATTAATCTGCCAGTGAGTACAGTGCCCCTGTGATCCAGTCACCTTCCAAAGGCCCTACCTCTAAGCGCATGAGACTTTTGGGGGGACATTTTAGATCTAAAGCATAACAAGCTGGATGTAAGAGATCCTTGGCATTTGTTTACTGGTGGCTAGATATGTGTTTGCTAAGATATGGGCTGGGAGGTCACGGTTTGGGGCTGGGAGGATGAGGATCAAGCCTGCAGTGACCGGGACCTGCTCCAGGGCTCAGCTCAGTGTCCTTGTCTCTCTCTTGCAGCTTGTCTCCAATGTCCTCATTTTCTCCTGCACCAACATTGTGGGCGTCTGCACCCATTACCCCGCCGAGGTCTCCCAGAGACAGGCCTTCCAGGAGACCCGAGAGTGCATCCAGGCACGGCTCCACTCACAGCGGGAGAACCAGCAGCAGGTGAGTGAGGGCCTCCCAGGCCAGTAGCCTGAAAACAGTGAGGATGTCCTGGAGCTCAGCTCCCTCTCCAGGGCTGGGCTTAACACAGCTGCCCAGCCCACCTCTGGGGTGGAGGAGTGCTTTCCCAGAGCTGCACCGCATTCTTCTCTCTGTGGGGATCCTTAGCCTGCCCTGCCCTCACCCAGGACCTCCTCAGACCCCCCTCTCTCAGCTCTGCAGTTTGCGGCTTTGCACACAAGCCAAGCTGCAGGATGGCTCCTCCTCCCTCCTGGGCCCCCCACAGCTTTGAGAGGTGAGCAGTCAGCATTTCATTAGCAGATACGGTGCTTCTCTGGGGCAGTCAAGAGAGAAGAGCGGAGAGGTGCCATCAGCCCTGTGGCACCCTACACCTGGCTCTTCCTCTCTGCTTATTTTTGGGTGAGGTTGGTTCAAAAAAGGAAGATAGTTTTATGTCTCCCAGACTGGCTGGGAGGCAGGCTGGTTGTTCACAGGGCCGTGGACTCAGGCCAGGCTTCCTCTAGGGCTCTGGCTGTTTCCATCCTGAGCAGTGGGTCTTGCTGACATTCACATGTGGGTCACACTGTCCCCTCGCCTATGTGTGGACCGGGTAGAGGTCTGCTAACAAGATAGTGGGTAGCTATGAAGCTCCCAGGCAGGAGGTTAGGCTGGGCCAGCAAGCTCAGAGGTGACAGCAGCAGTTGGCCGGGCTGCGGGTCTCCCACCATGTAGGAACCAAGCAGGACTCTTGAGAGCTGAGGTCCGGCAGACCAGAGGGTCCTCCTCCCCAAACCCCTAGCCACATGCTGTGTCAGGACCCAGACAGATGGGAACCAGGCAGTCACATTTGAGTATGGGGACAGGAAGACGATGGCCCAGGTGGCAGCAGAGTGCGTGCTGTGGTCGGCCAGGTGTGGGGCGGCTCCACTGCAGCGTGAGCGTGTCTAGCTGTCCGGATGTGTACTAGGTGGCTATGGTGGCCGGTGACCCCCGGACTGCCACACGAGGAGTGAACTCCGCAGTGTCTCCAGGTCTTCTTCAGTCCTGCCACTTCCCTTCCAGCACTGCCTCTGTGGCTGCTGTGTCTTGCCAGGTGTCCCACTTCGATTAGTCGGAGACCTGACTGTCCCATTCGCTCTTTGGTCCTGTCTGGACTCCTTGAAGGAAGCCTGGCTCAGCAGTGTCCTGGAGTGCTCCACTGACCTTTGTCAATAAGCTTACCTCACCTCCGGTCCACAGCACTCTGCACACCCCAGGCCAGCACCCCTCAAGAGCCCCATCTCATTCTTGTCTGGCCTCAGTGGCTCTGCCTGCGTCTGGTCACCTCGCTTCCCCTTGTGGCAGGCCTGGCCCCTCTGACCTCCCGGCCTCCCGCTTCCCTAGGTCAGAGGCCATTTTCCAGCTCATCAGAGCTACTTGCTCTGGCCCTGGCTGGGCTGCACATGCCGCCAAATCCTCAGGGATTTGGCGAAGAAACTCTTCTGCCAAACCACGTTCAGGGCTAAGGCATGGGGGTGGTGGTGCTGTGTTTGATTCCTGAGGCACCCAGGGGAAAGCACGGGGGCACCCAACACTGTTCTCAGGTGCTGCGTGCTGAGGGGGCTGAGAATAGGGCCCTGTCTGCCGCTGTCACCCAGCCCTCAGCCCAGATGTGGTGACAAGGAAGGAAGGTTTCTTGTGAATCTAGTTACAGCACACTTTCTCCTGGCCGTCCGCGTCACGGAATTGTCCTTTCGTGCATGCTCTCCGGGTGGCTATTTTCTGAGTGTGGTAAATGGCAAGTGGCCTTCCATGGTTGTGTGTCCTGGTACCTGGGGACACCAGACAGACCTGGGGAGAGTTTCATGTTTCACTAATTCACCCGTTTCCTGAGCATCAGGCCTTGGGCTGTGGCGCTGGAGAAGACATAGCTCCTGTCCCCAAGAAAGCCTCAGCTTGTACTCACCAAAGCAAGGTGCCGTTAGCAGCCACGGACACACAGGAGGGTCAGGGACTCTGTCCAGGTCCCCTTGGTCTGGCTTGTACTTTGTGGTCAGCTTGCTGCCCTCTGGCCCAGGCCCCCGCTCCCCTGTGGAGCTGAACTCCCCCATGCCTGGCGTACATGAGGCCTTCTCCACTCACACCACTGTCCTCAGCCTCGGTCGTGGCGTCCCTGCTCGGTAACCCCAGAGCACCCCTGTGCCCAAGAGGTGGGAAGCTTTGAGAAGAAGGATGGTTGTGACTCCCGGCACCCAGACTATGCCTGGAACATGGGGATGTGCAATAAATACTTGGTGACTGGGACTGAATGAATCTTGTTTAATGCTGTCAATATCTTCATCTTGTTTTGGCTCAGAGAAGTTCAGTAGTTTGCCCAAGGTCATACAGCGTCTCAGGTTCTAAACCACAGTGTTCTGCTCAGCACCTGCAGGTTCACCAGGAGTGTCTGTCCCAGTACAGCATGGTGATGAGCCTGGGGAAGGACCAGGGTGTGTCCCAGGGAGATGGGAACCAGAGAACCCTAGGGCTCAACTCCAGCTGTACGTAGAGGGGGTAGTGCTGTGAGTCTGAGAGGAGAGGTCTTCCAGGGCCTTGCTTGAAGGGGCACAGGTGTGGGCAGGAGGAGACTGCTCTGGGAGTAGAAGGAGTAGTTATGAACCCCTGCGCTTTGTCCCCAGGAGCGGCTGCTGCTGTCGGTCCTTCCCCGTCATGTTGCCATGGAGATGAAAGCAGATATCAATGCCAAACAGGAGGATATGATGTTCCACAAGATTTACATCCAGAAGCACGACAACGTGAGGTAAGGGTGAGGCAAGGGAGAGGCTGGGAGAGGGGCCAGCCGGCAGGATGGGAAAACTGGACAGCAGGGGAGACACCCCCACTTCTTTCCTTTAAGGGGACACAGCCCAGCAGGGTGGCCGGGGCTGGGTTGGAGGATGTGTTTGGAGCAGGCCAGCTCTGCCCCTCCAGTCCTGAGTGAATTAGCGTTGTGCACAGTTTAACTTTTTTGGAAGCTGAAGGGGGCAGCAAGGCTATAGGACAGTATAGAGAAAAAAGTGACACTGGTTGCTGGGAGAACGCTATCCTGAAAAGGGGGACAAAAAGCATTGGCTTGGACCGTAGTGGCAGCCTGGTTGCCGTGTCTGTTGTCACTGGACAGCTTGCGTGCCTTCTGTGCCCATGCACGGCAGGCGCGGGCGGTGCAGGCATTGCCATCTTACCGCTGCTCTCCCCGCACCTCTGCAGGGTGGGTACAAATGGCACTTCTGGGGTGTGGATGAAGCTCAGCATGGCTGAGAGCCTTGGCCAGGTCCCCCACGAGTAGTGGCAAACCCGGAGTGCCCCAAGCGGGCCTGCTTCAAAACCCACACCCCCTTGCTGCATATTTGCTGCCTCTCTAGACAGAAGCTGCTGACAGCATGGCCGTGCAAACAGATGTCCATTAATAGAGTGCAAAATCTGCTTATGAGTTCCACAGGGACATGAAGTGATCCAGGGGCCTTCCTCCAGCCTGGCTCCTGGAGAGCCCAGCAACCCTCCCTTGGGCCCAGAAAAGCAGCCACTGTGGGTGCTTTGAGAGGGTTGCTTTCTCCATGGGCACGTCTTCCTTAGAGCCGAATCCTCGGAGGTCACCTGCTGGGGGCTTGGGCTGCATTTCCAGTGAAGGGAGTTGGCGGGCTGTGCGGACTGAGTGGAGGTGAGGTTGATGGCAGCGGTCGGGGCAGTACTACTTTTTTCCATGCAGAACAAGCAGAACTGCCCCGTCCTCGAGTGTGCCCTGGGGTCTGAAACTGTCAGTTCTGCATTTGTGTCCTCCATCTGTCTCTCAAAATACAGAAGCTCATGCTTTGGGAGAAAAATGTAGCTGCCCCACACATTTGTGCTCAGTTTCCCGGGCTGCCCAACCTCCTGAAGCGCTACCGTGCTGCTTTGTGAGGCACAGCAAGCGTGGCCAGCAGCAGCCTCAGGCCGTTGGGAAGCCAGGCTCCAGCTCAGTCTCAGGACCAGGTGGTGGCTTCGGGGCTGGACTGCTGGTGTGAACCCTCTTAGGCAGCACTTTGCTGCTTTTCCTTGTCCACCTCAGTCCTCCCACAGTGGAACGGTGATCATGGTGCGCACTTCTGGAGAGTTCCTTTTCCCCAGCCACTGTGTGTGTGTGTGTGTGTGTTTGTGTGTGTATGTGTGTGTATGTGTGTCTTTTTGAGACAGGCTTTCACTCTGCAGTTCAGGCTGGCCTTGAATTCACTTTGTAGTCCAGACTGGCTTCAAACTCAAGGTGATCCTCCTGCCTCAGCCTCCTGAGTGCTGGGATTACAGCATGGTGGTGTATGCCTGGCTCCAAGTACTTCCTGATACTCAAGTCCTACAAGTATAGGAGATTGGCACTGTTACCATCCCCATCTTACAGATGAGGAAACAGTGTCATGGAATTTTATAACTTGTCCAGGATCCCATAGCCAGTGAGAACTGTGCCTAGAAGGTGCTGACTTCAGAGTGTTTATCTAGCCTGACTCCTGGCAGATGTAGTTACAGTTACGAGAAGGAGTTTGGATTCGGACTCTGGGAAGGTGGTCTGGGGAACTGCTGGCCCAAGAGGAGGCTCCTGTGACTCAGGAGCCCCCAGGGCTCCCTAAAGTCTGGGGTCACTACCCTGGGACATCCAAAGAAATAGTCTTCCCTATTAGGACAAATCCTAGCCGCTCACGTTTCAAGTGGGAAGGGGTGGCTGGAAAGCAGCCCAACACACACAAACCGAGTTCCAGAGCAGCCCTTTCTGGAATTTTCTCTCTTGATCCTGTCTGTGTCACCCCCCCGGCCCCCGGCCTGCCCTTGTCCCCTGCAGAGTGTGGATGGAGATGCGTACTTGATTGCTCTTAGCTCAGCAGAGCTTTCTGCAGCATCCATGCAAACATGCGCTAAGGAAATCCAGGGAACTCACTGCTCAGAAACGGTCTGGCACTGAAGGGGCACTGTAGCCCCCAACCATTGTTTTTAAAGCAAATGCCACCCCATTATAACTCACCCCTCAACCCAAGTCAAAGTCCAACCCGACAACAGAGACAGCAAGAGCTGTGTCTTCACCCAGGGCTGCGTGCAGGGCTAACGGCCCTGAGCACGCACCCCCAGCGGGATATTTGCGCATGACTGCTGGTGGCTGGCTTCTGATGTGCACCAGCTGCCTCTCCATGAACACCGTGGGCTCTTAGTTTGTCTCTCCTTTCATCTCTCTCCTGATTGCTGCCATTGATCGTGGTGTGTCACAGACAGAAATCTCCCCTCGGGGCTGGGACCTGATGCTCAGGCTCAGGCCCCTCTGATTAGGGCACTGTCCTGTTGTGCTCAACCCTGAGCCAGGTGTGCCGTGCCTTGCGTGTTCACTGCGATAGAGGCCTTCATTAACCAATCTGACTACACCCCTTGAGGAGGAAAGGGGGACCCGAGACAGGAAGTAGGAGAATGCCTGCCCTGTGGGGACGGGGCCATGGCAGGAGGACAGGGGCTGGGCAAGGTGGCCAGGCAGGCCAGCAGTGTAAGCCAGGCTGAGAACCTACACAGCAGGAGTATCTTTTGGTCAGGTTGTGAAGAGTGAATGGGATAATATGGGAAAACGGGTGGCACAGCACTTGGTGCATAGATGATCAATAACTGGGAGGTGCAGTGGTCGTTGCTACTGTTGTTGTCATGATTGTTATCACACGCACACCAACAGAGAGGCCTGGGAGCCTCTGGTTGGGAACTGGGAGGGCGATGAGTCATATTCATCAAATCTCCTCGGGGTTGTAATATTACAGAGGGTGATGACATGCTGTTCTCCAGTCCCCCAAGAGCAAGGCCACAAGAACAATAAATCAGCTCCGCAGTGTGATGGACTGGGCCTGGATCTAGCCACTGATAGGGTGCTGGGGAGAAGAGTGTGACCGGGGCAGCAACCGAGTACAGACAGGGCCACCACCCCCTCTATGGTTTCATTGTCCCCTGGTCTGGAGAAGAGTTTCACGGCAGGTAGTTCCTGGCCAAGGAGCCGGTGGGCTGTTTTGGTGTGGGGCTGAAGCAGCCCCCAGAGGTCTCTTATCTGCTTTGTGGTGACAGACGGATCATGTCGCTCCCTCTGGAGCTCAGCTGGGCTGTGCCCCCTCCCAGGATATCAGGCCTGTGTTTTTCAAGCCGCTGGCCCCATCCCAAATATCTGCCTCTCTGCAACTAGCAGAGCAGGGTGGCAGAGAGGTGTGTAGGGTAGGTGGGATGGCTATGCCACCCCACTCCTCCAGGCCAAGCTACAGGGGCGCAGATGTCTCGGAAGCTCTGCCTCAGAGCAGCTGCGGGGAGGGCCAGCCAGAGAAGGCACCACACCAGGGAGCTCAGGTGGCGGCAGACACAGACAGATGCAGGGGCTGCCTAGTCAGCCTCACCACGCAGTCCCAGTGTGGCATGGAGCAAAATGAGTGTCAGCACTGAACAGACTGGTGCACGCCCCAGGGCTGCCACCTTGGTGCTCCGGGAGCTTGGACACATCACCTGGCCTGAGCCCCCTTTCACCATCTGTAACCTGGAGGATTAGCAAGTCCTTTCACGGGACTGTTACCCCTGCCCTGCCGGGCAGGGACAGAAGGGGTATGATATAAGGGACACACCTCCTCTAAATAGGGAAGCGCCCTTCTGTTAGAGAAGACACACTAAACAAGTGTTGGTAAATTCCAAGTTGTCACATACCTGTCTTGTGCGAGGCTCTCTGCGGAGAGCAGGGCAGGGGGCCGGGGACGTGGACTTCGCAGGGTACAGCTGTTAAACAGCCAAGGGCTCAGTCACTGTCACAATAGTGAGAAAAGGCCCATGAAGCAGGGTGTGCAGAGGGGCCCAGCCTGGCGGGGGTTGCAGGGAGGGGATGGGGCAGGGTCAGTGCCAGGCCAGAGCCAAGGTCAGGTGAAGGGGCAGGGAAAGCCAAGGACTCCCCACTTCACCAGGGACTTCTGAGTGCATGTGACTCCATGCCTGACCTGGCTGGAGCCCACTGGCTTTTAAAGGGGGTGGGATGGGGGTGAGATTATTCCAGACTCTACTTCACGGGAAAGGAGAGAAGGCTGCCTTTCTGAAGAGTCACTGGTCCCTACCAAAGAAGCACGGTCCTCGCAGAGCTCCATTTGTTCCCACTGTCCTCCCACTGTCCTCCCTCTGTTCAGGATGGAGTTTGTGGTGGTGGGGAAGGAGTAGCTTGGTTCATCAGTGAATGAGAGCTTCATTCTCAGGCTTCCTGAGCCCTGGGGGCTACAGGCGGGGTCCTGGCAGGGAGGCTCCGAAACCTGCGCGCGCATACACACACACACACACACACACACACACACGCACGCACGCACACACGCGCGCGCGTTCCTGGGGGTGGAGGTGCCTGCCCTGCTCCCTTTCTCCTCTGATCCTTCTCTCCCTAACGCCTCCCCCTTTTAAGGTTATTATCTCCTCTCTTGTCTCTTTCAAGGACTTGGCTGCATTCCCCAGGTTGCTCTGGCGTCTGGCTCAGCTATGGTATGGTCCTGAATTATAATGACCACGTGCTGGCACTGAGATGCTCAGATACCTGCGGGCGGGAGGAGGGGAGGGGCGCAGGGCGAGGAGCGTGCCCCCTGTGGGCCGAGGGTGCAAACTGCTCAGTCACGTCCTCTTCCACCTGTTCTGCCAGCTAAACTTCCCTCTCAGACGCAGAGGTGAAGAAAGTGTGCCGAACGCCACTCCCAGAGTGCTTAGAACACTTGTGTTCCTCACGCTGTTACTTTATCCACTTCACAGACATTTACTGGGCTGCTACATTGTACCCGGCCGTGACAGACATGGCCCTGCCCTTTGGGGAATACTCAGGCCGCACCTCGAGATTGGGGCTGTTGGAGGGCTATGGGTCCCAGTGGGGGAGCCTTTTAAAACTACTTAATTATTAATATTTATTTATTTTAATTGTTTTGAAAAGTAAACATGGTGTAACATTTATCACCTTTAAACACTGTCATTTTAGAGCGCTTAATCCAGTGACATTAGATACATTTACATTATTGCAAAAGCCTCTGGAGGAGAACTCTTTATCTTCCCAAAGCAAATTGGTATGCCCGCCCCGCCCCAGCCCGTGGGAACCGCCACTCCAGTTTCTTCCTGTACAGATTTGGCTACTCCGGATGCTTCATGTTATTGGACTCCTACAGAGTGTGTCGTTTTATTTCACTTCACACGGTGTCTTCGGGCTTTGCCCACGTGGTGAGCATGTGTCAGGACTTTGGTCCTTGTGAAGGTGGAGTGCTGGCCCCCGTGTGTGTGTACCGCACATGTTGCTTATCCATCCAGCCAGAGGTGCACATGTGGGTTGCTTCTGGCTTTGAATAATGCTGCTGTATGGTGTACGCATTCCTGTTTGTGTCCCTGCTTTCATTTCTTTGAGCGTATACTGAGAAGTGGGATTGTTAGATCATCGGGTGAGTCTGAGTTTAATTTTTCGAGGAACAACTATATTGTTTTCCCCATTTCTACCATTTGACCCACCTGCCAGCAGAGTGAGGGTTTCAGGTTTCTCCAGGTCCTCAGTGGGGGTTAGCAGAGGCCTGAGTTTGTCCTGGGGTGCAGAATGGGGATCAGAAGAGAATGTAGCCAGCAGCAGCAAGGACTTACTATTTTAGCTCTCTGCACTCCAAATAGGGGGCGGAGCGGCCCTGACTGGTGGACCATGTCTGGCCGTGTCTTTGGCACATCTGGAGTCAGTTGTGACTTGTGGTTCTGATTCTGTTGAACATCCAGGCACAGGGAGGGTGGTTCTGGGCTGGGGTAAGTCAGGGAGCACATCAGATTGGACGGGTTTGGGTTAGGCCCTACAAGAAAGGTATGATTCGTTTTCAAATGTTTTTAAAAAGCAAACAATTTACTATGCAAAGGGTGAATGTTCTTTGTAGAAAGGTGGGAAAGAGAAGAAAGCGAAAGCCCCCAGTGTCCCACTGAGCGCTCTGCTTCCCTCTGCGTGTGCCCCTCGTTTCGGGCGGCCACCCCAGCATGTCGGGACTCCGTGGGGTGGAGAGCTGGATGCTGGGGGAAAGGGTAGGATTTGGGGTAGAGGAGGGGTGGGGTCTGCAGGAGGCCCTGAGGCGAACAGAGTGGATCGCAGGATTTGCCTCGACCCCAGCTCCCAGGCACCTCCTCTGGGGCCCACTTGACAAAGGAAGGTGCTTGCCCCTGTGAGAGTGGAGGGTGCTGCTGTCTCGGGCGAGGTGCTCCTGTTGGTGGGATTTGTGCCGTCTTCTTGTCTGCTCCCCCATTTCCTTTCCCAGCTGGTGCCCTCAGATGGCCCTGGGCGTCTGCTAGCACCTGTGCCCCTCTCTAAGCTGCTTCCTACCTACCACCCCTTGGGAAGCGGCCCTGTGGTGTCTGGTCACGCCCGAAGGTGCTAACTCACCTAGCCCATGTGATGACTTGTTGCTTCTGCTTTATCTCACCACGGCCACGAGCCCAGGCGGCTCTCCAGGGTGAACGACGTGGAGTAAAGCGGGGGCCACCTCAAGGGACAGCCCTGTTGGTTACAAAGAGGTGGCTGACTGATGCAGAGGCCCAGCTTCTCTGACCTCGCAGCGCACACACTGAGGACTTGCAGGTTGCTTCCTGCCCTTTGAGGCCCTGCTCCCCAGCACCACTAGTCCCCCAGGGCAGCATCCTAGGAGGAGGGCTCTCGCCATGCATCCCCGTGGTGCCTGGCCCAGGTTGGGGTATAGGACTAGAGGCCCAGTCATGCCCAGGACCAGAAGGAGTCAGAGCTGCCGCTTGTCAGCAGTGCCAGCCACCCAGGCACTAGCTCTGGGTGTCCAGTGATGCCACAAGAAGCAGCTCTGCGTGCAGGAGCAGGGCCAGATGCTGACGGCTTCATTAAGTCACAGGGCCTGCTGGCAGTGGGAGGAACAGCTGTGAGGAAATGCCCGTGGGCAGAGCGGGACTGAAGCTGTCCGGGAGGCAGGAGGTCCTGTGGTGGGTAGGGGTGAAGAGCCTAGGGGTCCCACATTGGCAGGAGAAGGCAGGCTGGTGTTGGTGGCAGTGACAGAAGGCAGGCCATCAGCCTGGGCCTGGGCCTGTGGCCAGGAGGAGCTCTCAAGTGGGAGCCAGTTGATGAACGCTCCTCCCTGCAGGCCTGGGCCGTGCTGGCCTTCAGAGTCCCCAAGGACACATAGGAAGCAAATTAAATATCTTTCTTAAAAAAGAGAAAAAAAAAGAGGAAAGAAAACTGGAACCAGACTCCCCTTCCCTGAAGGTGGCTGGAACCCCCAGCTTGGGGAGAGGGGGTTACCAGTACTGTCAGATAGCCAGCCCATGCAGACTCCTAGACCCAGTGGAGGGTGCTTCTGAGAATTGGAATTACCAGGAAGCTAAATGGTATTTAATGGTCAACAGCACAGTCAGTCTGCTAGAGTGGAGGGCAGAGGCCTCCAGAGGTGACAGTCACAAGTGGGGCCCTCCCCCTCAGTGACAGAGTGACAGGAGGTGGGAATGTGGGGTGGTAGCTTCCCACACGTGCAGCAGAGGCTGCTGGGGGTTCAGTGGGACCCAGAGACCTGGCTTGAGCTTCTGCGCCTAGGTTGGAAGTGTTGCTCTGAGTGCCTCCTCCCTGCCTGCAGCAGACCACCTGCCTTCTTGTTCTTTAGCAGCTGGTGGGAGCCCAGGGCAGGTGGGAGGTGCCCAGAAACTGCAGGGAAGTCGGGTTTCTAGGCCACTTGGTGACCTGCACAGACCCATTTGTTTCTCCTGTCCCCTGTCCCAGCACCAGGGAGCTGCGTGTGTGCTCTGTAACCTGTGTGCTGGGGTGGCTGCCTGAGACCGAGAAGTCCTGCCTCTTCCCACCCTGGGAGTCTGTGTAGCCTGTGATGCAGGTGGATGGGCCAGTGAGTGTGGTGGCTGCTCACCCCGCACGTGAAATACTGATGACAGCCTAGGGGACACTGTTCTGTGGCTCAGTGCAGCCAGTCTTGACCCCAGCTTCTCTTGGGGCTGATTTCCTGAGAGGTAAAGTATTTCCAGGACAACTATGGAGCAGGTGCTTTTGCAGAGGTGAGGTGAGACCTGGGTAGGGAGGGGCAGCTGCTGAGCGGCAGGGTGAGAGATGGGCAGGCACAGTGTGTGGATGCCTGCCTGTGTCCTTCGGGCCCGGTGAGCCCATCCTCCAGGCAGACACAGGCGTCAGAACTTGGGGGAGAAGGTGCAGGGGGCTCCTGTCCCCCGTTCCTCCCAGTCTGCAGTTGCCTCTGCTGATCCAGGCTGGGATTGGAGGGCTAGAGAAGCCAGGATTGGACCCAGCTTGGCATGGGCTGCCCTCCTGTGCTTTCCCTGGGAGGTGACAGCCTGACGCTCTGGGCTGTGTGCCCCGGTGGCCCAGCCTGCTTCCACGTGCCCCCCGGTGTGCCTGTGTGTCTGGCGAGCAGCTGCTGAGAATGGCCCCTTCATGACATCCTGCACCTACCCTGGGCGGTCTGCAGAAGCGCACACCTACCCTCTGCCGCTCTCCATCCTGAGACAATGCCAGGGCACTGGATTTTGCTTTATGCACTTGGAATGGCTGTGCAGCTGAGAGCACACTCTTCACTGGTGCTACTCCCAGGTATGGAGCCAGGTTGCCTGTGTGGCCTTGGGCTCCTCACTCAACACTTCTGTCCCTCAGTTTTCTTATCCATGAGGGGAAGATACAAACCTCACGGGGTGGTTGTGGGGCCTGAGTCAGGACAGTGAGGAGCTGAAAGCAGTGTATTTTAAAATGCAGGATTTATTGTGATTCAGGTATGGTCAGGAGATGATTTGCCTTGAAAGGATTGAGACAGTTCCCAAGAGAAGGGGCCATGTCATATTAGGTCGTACAGGCAGCAGGGCTACCCAGGAGGTGCAGGAGGGCAAGGGACAGGGATCTCACACACACACACACACACACACACACACACACGCAACTTCATTGGGCTTTCCTTGGGAAGAATCCATGAGGTGAGGAAAGGAGGCTTATCCTTGGCCACCCTGAAGAGTTTCACAGAGCTCTGCGTGTTGGCAGCTGTCCCACCCCGCGGACACCTGTCCATGGGATGGTTAGGGCAGTGGGCTGTTGGTCTGCAGGGGGCCACGGGTTGGTTGATCTGGAAGGGAAAGGTGCACACTAAGTTGCGTTGTTTGCTCCCTCTCTGGGAGTTGTCTGTGAAGGGTGAAGTATTTGATGCCTGTGTTAATTAGCTTGATTCAAACCTTCCACATCTCAGTATATATGTAACACCACTCTGTAGCCTGTAAATATACGCGGTCATAGTCTGTCAGTGTTGAATAAAAATAAAAAAATAATATACTAATACATTTAGTATATAATATAAATAAAAAATAAAAATAATATACTAATACATTAATATACTAGTACATTTTCAGGGAAAAATGACCAAAATGCATTCAGGAGCCCAGAGGTATGGTGGGAAGAACGCTGTCTGTCCTGTGGCTGGGGACACCAGGCCCTGTGCCCAGCTGTCAGGTCCGAGGATGTGAGGACCTGCAGCTCAGCACCTCATGCATGACACACTTTTTCCCCCTTTGAGATAAACTCCAGGGCCCGTTATGCATTTTGGTCCTTGGGGCCTTGCCTCTGGGCATCTGTTCAGAAGGAAAAGGAAAATAGTTTCCTGCTCAGACTCAGAGGCCACAGGCAAGGATGAAGGATCCCTGACCAGCCCATGTCTTTGACAGTGAGCCTAGGCAAGCAGCCTGGGAGGGGCTGAGGGCTGCCAGACCTGCTGGTGTGTCCTCCTCTCCCTCCTCCCTGGGTTGGAGTCTGCTGAGGGTTGGGGTCTTTTCTCTGGGGGGCTGGGAGTGATACTGCACGACGCTGTTCTGGCCAGAAGCGCTTTCCAGAGCATAGAAGGGCGCTTATGCCCAGGCCTGGCCACTGTGAAGGGGCTGCTCAGAGGCCAGCCAGGGGCTGGGCAGAGGGGTGATAGGGGTCCCATCAGACACATGCCTGGCCTCATGCGTTCTGTCCTCCTGCCCTCTTGGTTGGAGAACAGGAGCAGGGCTCCCGGGCAGCAGGAGGGGCAGCCATCCTCAGTTCTCCAGGCTTTTGGAGCCCCCAGACTCCTGTGGCCAGCAGCCCTCCTAAGGTCCCAGGCGCCCCAGCTGGGTCCTGGTGACAGCCTCCTCTCCCCTTCTCGCACGTGCCTCCCTCAATCCTTGCAGACTGCTGTGCCAGAGGACCAGACTGAAGGCTTGTAAACAACAGAAATTTACTTCTTGCAGTTCTAGAAGCTGGGAGTCTGAGGTCAGGATGCCGACCTAATCGGGTTCTTGTGAGGGCCTCTTGTGGTTGCAGATGGCCATCTTCTCATACCCTCACGCAGTGGAGAGTGAGAGAGAGGAAACAGCTTTTGCCCTGAGCTATATCCCCAGCCCTGTTTGTTTACTTTAACACAGGGTCTCACCAAGTTGCCCAGGCTGTGTTTGACTTGCAGTCCCCCTGCCTCAGCCTTCCAGAGCAGTGGGACTGGGAGCCTCTGTCCTATGCCCAGCTTCATGTCTCTTCTTGTAAGGGCACTAGTCTGGCTCATGAAGACTTACCCTTGTGACCTAACCACTTCCCAGAGGCCCTGCCTCCTAACCCTGTGACATGGGGCACTGAGATTTACCATGTGGATCTGGGGAGACCCGGCAAGGTGTGGCAAGGTCTTCCTCCTCTGCTGTCTCCCCAGCATCCTGTTTGCTGACATCGAGGGCTTCACCAGCCTGGCATCCCAGTGCACTGCCCAGGAGCTGGTCATGACCCTCAACGAGCTCTTCGCCCGCTTTGACAAGCTGGCTGCGGTGAGTCACCCCGACCTTGGGCCAGAGGCAGCTGGGTCCAGGCCGTTGAGGTCTTGGGATCAGGGACCCAGGGTGGGCACAGGACAGGCCTGTCTCCAGAGGGGCTGTCAGGAACCGGTGACAGGCAGACGGGCTGCCCAGGCTGTAGTTGTGCCCTCATGCCCCGGTCAGTCCTGGCAGCAGCAGTGTGAGGGCGTGTGCAGGGAGCCCGTGATACACTCCAGGGAAGGGGTGGCAAGGCCTGTGGGTCACCAGCTCCAAACCTCTCCTGCCCCTAATTTCTATTAGAAGTAAGTCAGACTCCACAGCCCCATTCCCGATGAAGCTGACCAGAGTGATAAGAGAAGGAGAGCAAATCCCCGTCTGACCTGCAGGCAGCCATATGCCACCCCAGAGTCCTCCAGAAAGAGGAGCCCCCAACACTGGGACAAATTGGAAGCGACATCTAGAGCAGGGAGTGGTACACAGCACGCTTGTTTATGAAGTCCCTGTTTACACTGTCTTCCTTTCCTAGCCCGTGGCTTTGGATGACACTGTAAGCCTTTGTAGAGTCATTATATGTAAGTGGCCACTTTGTACAGCGTCCGCTGACACATGGACATGGCCTCCATTGGCACATAGGACACCAGGCCAGGGTGTGCACCAGAGGCTGCTGCCCGTCTGATGGGGGCCTCAAGTCCTTGAGCTTGAACAAGGCAGACGGGGCACACTTGGTGCCTGGGCACCAGCTGCATCTCACACGAGTCCAGGTTACGCAGGTGCTTGAATCCCAGAGATGTGCTGGCTTCACGGAGTGGCTCTGGGAGCCAGATTTGGGCTGCTCATAATTGGTGATGAATGGCATTCCACCTGACTGCCAATTATGGATCGATGGCCTTCCCGGGGACCCTGTAGCACCTGTCACGTGCAGCAGCAGCAGCAGCAGGTGCTTCAGCTCTGCTGGCTTCTTGGCACTGGTTCGCTGGTTTGGTGAACTCTTAAGTCTCAGACAGGCTGAGGGTCACGTGAGGTTTGGGTTCGAGGTCATTCCTGCCTGCTTCAGAAAAGCTGTTGAGAGAGCCGTGGGCCAAGAGCTAAGAGTCAGGTGTGCTCCTGGGACACCGAGTGCTCACGCCCGACGAGGGCATTCCCCTCGCTGACAGAGCCGCCTGGCCCCTGAGCCTCGAGGCCCCACCACGCCTCCTCCCCGGGCCTCCTGGCAAGCCCAGTCTGTCTGGGTCGCACTCTGGCACGGCCCGGGGTCTGTGCTCAGCACCTTAACAGATGAATTGTTCCAGGCATGGACTGAATCTCTTTGCTTCTCAGGGCTGTCTCTCCCACTTCCCTTTCCCACTATTTTTAATTATGAAAATGAATTTGCTTTCCAGGAGAATCACTGTTTGCGCATTAAGATCCTGGGGGATTGTTACTACTGCGTCTCAGGGCTGCCGGAGGCCAGGGCCGACCACGCCCACTGCTGCGTGGAGATGGGCATGGACATGATCGAGGCCATCTCGTAAGTGCCCACCTCCAGGCCTGTCCCCTCCAGGCGCTGTGCCGCAGCCTGAGTGAAACTGACTGGCCGGCGGATGCGAGAGAAACGGTGGGGAATGATGAGGGAAAGCTGTCTCCTGGGGCTGACCTGGCCTTGCACCGTCCCACATCCCAGTCTGCGCCTCCAGACTCTGTGCCTCTCTGTGGCTCCTTGTGCCTCAACAGCCAGGACAGCTTTTCCCAGAGGGGGAGGGGGAGGCGGGCTCTGCAGGCCCCAGGCAAGGGGCTCCATGCTGCATCCAGTGCCTCCTGCCTGCTTGCGGCAGAGGAAACAGCAGCCCTTGCACCTCCGCCCAGGTGAGAGAGGGTTGAACAGCTCCCCAGGCCCAGGAGAATCCAACACAGAGTTCCTGCGAGAATCCTTCCTTCCTGTGAACAGCAGTGCAGCTGTTGTTGGTCATCACTGGTCACGGAAGGAGCCCTAGTTGTTGGAACTTGTGTATGACTTGTGTATGAGCCAAGGAGCAGGTGGAGACTGTATCCAGATAGTGTTGGACTTTAGAAATATGCTGAGTAGGGGCAAAGGGAAAGACAGATGGCAAGGTCAGAGGTCAGTGTGGCTGGCTGGGAAGCTGGCCTGGTCCATAGAAGTGGTATGGTTGTTTCCCAAGTGCCCCCTGCATACCCGGGCTAGACAGTCCCTAGCCCAGAACCACAGGGTTGAGGGCGGGAGGCCGGGGCACCCGAGGCTCTGTGCGAGGTGTCTGTGCATGTGACTCGGTACGCGGGACCAACTGCTGTGAGAGGGGCAGCTGGTTCCTCTGAGGGCTGGAGAGAAGCTTCGTGCAGGAAAGACAGACTGAGACACGTCATCCTGAGCGGAGCACCATGGACAGACAGGATGGCTCCAGTAATGGTGCTTCCCAAGCTGACCCCAGGACAGGAGAGACGACGGATGGCACGTGTCCCTGGCAGTGGGTGTCAGCTCACTGAGGGGGTGGGGTGGGAGGCAGGGAGGGTGGGGTGGCCCTGCCCACCAGGCAAGGTCAGGTTACTGGGCCGAGGCTGGCTGAGTGGACCCACACCCAGGGGGTCAGGAAGGTCACAGTCCCTAAAAAGTGCAAACTGCATCCCACCCCCAGCACCTGCTCCCTGTTTGCAGACCTTGGGCCCTAGACATAGGGGTGCAGCTCCCCTTCTGCCCTGCCACCTGCTCCCCTGCATGGGAGGTTATAAGGGGAGGCCCACCTCACTGGCTTGGGACCCGTTTACATGGTGCAGGTGACGGCGACTGGGGCTGTCCTGTAGGACACAACACCCATCAGCCCCTACACCTTCCCAGCCTGCTGTCTTCCCGAGCAGGACGAACAAATATCCCCTCCTTCGAAACCCAAGTAACCATCCTTTCTCCATCATCCTACGGCCAGAGCAGCAGTGTGGAGCAATTATGATTGGGGTTTGGAGTGGCTATAACTTCCCTGTTGGGTTCAAGTTGTCACTAAGACACATTCGCATTTCTTTAATTGACTTAAAGTAGCCAGAGATAACCAGAGAGGCAGGAGGGCTGTTTGGTTTTACTGTGAGTCACCACGCCACCTTGTGAGCAAAGGAGGAAACAGCACTTTTCAGATTTGCGCACCTGAGCCCCTGCAGTCCCTGCATCCATCCCTGGACCAGAGAAATGCCACATTGACCCCGTGTCTCCTGACACCTCAGCCCCACCGTCCAGCCTCCCCTACTCTGTGTGCCTGGTCCCTGACCCTCTCCCAGCCTTACCCCTGCTCCATCCCCAGGTTGGTCCGGGAGGTGACAGGGGTGAACGTGAACATGCGTGTGGGAATTCACAGCGGGCGTGTACACTGCGGTGTCCTTGGTCTCAGGAAGTGGCAGTTCGACGTCTGGTCTAACGACGTCACGCTGGCCAACCACATGGAGGCTGGGGGCAAGGCGGGGTGAGTAGGGGCCCAGACTTCACTTCCCATCTGGTGGGGTTGTTCCGGGGAGCTGGGGTTGTCCCACCTTGGGGAGCAGAGCTGAAGTAGAAATTCCTCACTTGTCAGATCCTGTGCACCGCTCCATGGATCAGTGGGAGGAGCCACTGTGTTAGCCACCCTTAGTCCAGGTGCTCACAAAGCATGCTGGCCTGTGAGATGGGAGAAGCAGAGTTCTGGGGCGGGCGGTAATCCCAGGGTGGCCCTGTGACTGGCATGGGAACGAAGGATAGGGAGAACCCCTGGCTGAGGGATGCAGGCCAGGAGGGGCACAGTGGGAGGACATGGTATCCCCAAGGACTGGCCTTTAAGAGGCAGGGAGGGGAATGTGCCTGAGGTAAGTGGGGTACAGACACTAGGCCAGGGTTGGGCCCAGACCTGTAGTCAGCAGAAGCCTCGCTGGCTGCTGAGCAGGAGTGCGAGGTCTGTGTGGCCTCAGACTTGTGGGTGGGCTGACAGAACGGGCCCTGCTAGGGGTGGACTGTAAGACAGAGAAGCCCTAGTGCCACCTCGACAGTATGGAGGGAGGTGGTGTGAGCTTGAGGTGCACGTCTGAGCCCGAGTTTGGGGCCCTGGTTTCAGTCGTGACTGAGTGGGGGTTGCAGTTCAGGTTTGCGGGAAGGGTTGGAGGTCTGAGGTTGCATTTTCTGGTGTCTCCCTCCCCCAGGCGGATCCACATCACCAAGGCCACACTCAACTACCTGAACGGGGACTACGAGGTGGAGCCAGGCTGTGGGGGCGAGCGCAATGCCTACCTCAAGGAGCACAGCATCGAGACCTTCCTCATCCTGCGCTGCACCCAGAAGCGGGTCTGTGGCCGGGGCGGGCGCTTCGCTTCCTGGGGGAGGAACATTTTTCTGGCCTGCTGCTTCCTGCTTGTCTCCCTCTCCCCCTGAGCAAAGTCGTGAGTTCCTCATGCAGCTGTGGCTCCTGCGTCTTAGAAAGGACCTCAGAGTGAGAGGCCTTGCCAAGGCTGGTGGCGGATGGGGGCAGTTGTATTCCGCTTTGTCTCAGAAATGCGGGAGGCCTTAGACCAGTTAGCAACAATGCTCAGAAGGCTACAGGCCGGAGACGAAGCCCCGAGGAGCCTGTGTGCACAGCGTGCTGTCTTCGCCTCTCCCCTTTCTTTTGCCTTCTTCAAGGTTGATTTCCTCTCCCTCTCGTCAGTGTCTGTCCCGGCCCGGATCTGTGTAACTTTGTTTCTGGAACCTCTGCCTCCCCGCTTTTAACTTTCTAGCTTCTGTCTTCTTCCTCTTTTGTCTCAGCCCACACTTGCCAAAGTATAAAACTCAATTATTAGCAGACTTCAGTGTTCTATTTTTAATAGTGTCATGTTCTGTGTTCTTAATTTTTAAAGCCAGAGAAGAGAACACTTTATATTTCTCCCTCAATTACACTGCCTGTGACTTCTGCGACATTCCCTCCAGTGTGTTGGTCAGCGCCCTGCTGCTTTTCCTAAGGAGTTAGACTGAAGAGACCACGTCGGCTTCTAGGGGGAGGCAGGGAGGGCAGGTGTCCACCTGAGAGGATGTCTGAGGGGCACTTTGTGCTGTGGCTCTGAGGGAGGGCTCCTGGCTGCAGCAGCCCCTGCAGGGAGCACATCAGATTCTCCACAGACAGCAGGGAGAAGAGCGAGAAGAGCCCGGGCCCTCTGGGGCGGGTTCCCCATGGCCTAACCCTGTCAGTGAACACTGGTAAACATTTGTCCGTTCTTTGGCCAGAATGTGAATGGACTGAAACCTCCTGGGCTCTTTTCCACATTACTTCTCTTGTCCCTGGTTCACAGGGCCTCCAGCCCACCTTCCTGCCACCTGCCTCATTCCCTGGGGCTTGGTTCCCTGGTTGACAAGTGGTCCCGAAAGGAGGAAGTAGAGAGAGGCGCAGGGTGGCAGCCCTCCCTGAGGCAGTGTTGGCGGAAGTAGGCTGAGTGTCCCCCAGACCCTGCATCTGATGGGTCAACGAGGGAGTTCAGCCGAGGGCTGCTCGACTCTCTACCTCTGGTGCCCATTTGGATGGAAAGACAGACAGATGGGCAAGCAGCATAGACGCTGGCACGGGGTTGGCCGATTGTCCTTGTGTGTCTTTGGACAGACATGTCAGCCCCGAAGTCTCATCACGTCTGGTCCTGTCCTACTGCCCCTCTGCTAAAACCTGCCTGTTGTAAAGCAGCAGAGCGGAGGTTGGAGCCCCGGTCCCCAGCTCTGCCAGCCCCAAGGCTGCGCCGAGCTTCACATTCCATCCAGCAGAGCCTGCTGTGAGGCTCCTGCCAGTAATGGGGTGGGGGAGGCCTGGTGGGCTGCCCAGGGACCTGAGGTGAGGCCCAGCCCCTGCTTCCACCCTCAGAGTCCCCACCCCAGGAGGGGAGGAGAGGAAGCACAGCGAGGGCTTCGGCTCAGTGCTTTGGAATGAGGTCTTGGGGAAAAGGAGGTGACACAGGCTTTGAGGGGTGCCAGGACAGACTCTTGGGATCAGACTTGTGGGGAGAACTCCTTGGTCCCACCAGGGTTGGCACAGGGAGTCTGGCTGGCTGTGGGGCTGGCTTGGGGTAGCTTGAGTGTTTTGGGAGACCTTGGCTCCTGGGCTCCTCCCTCCACTCTGCCTGAGGCTCATGTGTCTGTGTTACTCTCCAGAAAGAAGAGAAGGCCATGATTGCCAAGATGAACCGCCAGAGAACCAACTCCATTGGGCACAACCCGCCACACTGGGGGGCCGAGCGCCCTTTCTACAACCACCTGGGTGGCAACCAGGTGTCCAAGGAGATGAAGCGGATGGTGAGTGGCTGTGGCAGCCCCAGGCACAGGATCGTCCCAGGCATTAGAGGTGACCGGGCTCCCCTGAGTTGCCTGAAAGAATCTGGAGAGCCGCAGAAGGAAGCAGAAGTGGGGTCACTCCAACTTGGGACCAGGAGGTGGCTCACCTGACGCTGGCCCAGGTGCCCCCATGCATGCTTCCACCTTGTGGCTTGCTGAATTTGGCCTGGGAACGCAGTGGCAATGCCCATGCCTCCTCCCCTGGCAGAGCTTGCAGCGCATCTAGGAACAGGCTCTTCCAGCCAGACTTGGGGGCTGTGGAGCCTCTGGACACTGGTGAGGCTGGAGGGCAGCAGCTTACTGGACCCCTGTCCGGCACCTACCACATTTCCCAGGCCACTGAGTTAACCTCTTCTGGCTGTGTTACTCAGAAACCGTCCCAGGGGCTGTCTGGCAAATGCCTGGTGGTCCCCTTTTCCCCCGTTCCCACTGACTCCTGCCTTCCCTGGGGAGTGTACGGGCCACATAAGGTTGTCCCCTCCCTCAGGTGCCCTGCCTGCCTCAGGCACAGATGCCGCAGCTGTCCCTGTATTCTCCAGGCCAGGCTAATGCAGGATGTGCTGCTGGGCTTGTGCAGCAGTGATGGAAACATGCATTCAAGGGGTAGGAAGGAGAAAGGGGGTGACAGGAAGCCAGGCCGCAGCAGCAATGTGCCTCTCTTTTGAGAGCTTGGCCAGTGACTGGGCAAAGGCATCTGTTCCCAGCAGCAGTCACCCTCACTGGGGAGGGCTGAGGAGGGCCAGTGCTGGGAACAGGGTCTGTGGACCCAACCAGGTTTAGGTGGAGCGGAAGGGAGGAGAGATGGACTCTCTGGAAGTGCAGCAGATGAGAGCCAGTGACCTAAAGGAGGGGTCGGCCAGGCACCTGATCACTCCAGTCAGTGCTGCCAGAGAGCAGCAGCAGACACAGGTGACGACAGACAAGCTCCTTAACGGACACGGGGTAGGAGGTGCGGATGGGAGAGGCCGAGACTTCCCTTAGGGCTTGGAACTTGGACATCACAGAGCTGGTCATTGTCACCAGGGCTCCAGCCACCAGTCTCCCTTCCCAAGGTCCTCCACAGAGCAAGAACTGGTGGCCCTCACTGTCGTTGACCCAGTGCTTGCACAATCTCCTGACGATGGTGGCCCCCGCACCCAGGGTGGCTGAGAGGACAGCGGGCACGGGAAGGGGGTCCAGGGAGCTGGAGACTGGAGGGGGGAGGAGGGGAGGTGACAAGGGAAGAGGCGGAGAGAGAAGGTGCAGCCAGCGAGCAGGTGAGGGTCCTGGCGATGTCATGGGCCCTGTTCAGGGTCGCTGGGAAATACTTTCAGTGACATTTGGCATAAGCTGCATCTTACTCATTTCTGAGTGGGAACAGAGGCAGTTCGGGCTGTGGGCACTGCTTTGGCAGGTGTGTTCATCCTTGGCAGGCCGGGGAACCTTGAAAGGACCAGCAGTGAGGGCTGTACCTGGGAGGGGAGGTCTCCCCTGGGTGGTGATCGCTTCTCCCAGCAGGAAAAGGTGCAGAAAACCGGGTCCTGACAGCCGCCACAGCAGCCGGGGGTTGGGAGGAAGGGGCTCCGGACCTAGGGGACATGTGTCCCTTGCTGGGCTGGCATCCAGGCACAGCCTTGTGGCCCGCCCCACCCTGTCTGGGGGGCGTCTGGGCTGGGGATGGAGGTAGCTGGGTTGGTCAGCTTTCTGTCCCTGTGACCAGCGCCTGAGAAAATCAGCTCAGAGGGGCAAGGGTTTGTTTCTGCTCGAGGTTTCGGAGGTTTAGCTCCTGGGTCAGCTGCTGCACTGCTGCTGAGCCTGTGGGGGGCGGGGGAGGGAGGAGGAGGAGCCGCAGCCCTGCACATCCAGCCGTGGGCCAACTGCTGCGGAGCCTGGGGGAGCCGCCCGGCAGGGCTCCCTGTTCTCACACTCTCCCTCTCCCCTCCTCTCTTAGGGTTTCGAAGACCCCAAAGACAAGTGAGTACCACGCCCTTCTTTATTGGCGCCCTGCACTCCAGGGGTGGGGGGAGGACAGCTTTAACTCCAGCTCCCCACTCTGTGTCCCCACACCCGCTGAACACAGGCCAGAGCCTTAGCCAAGAGTGAAAGGACTAAGCGAGGTGACAGGTGGCCAGCGGCAGCCTCAGACAGGTTGGGGCACCCAGGACACCAGGGCCCCTTCCTGTACTGCCCGGCTCATCTCCACATATACACACACACACACACACGCACACTCTCATACTCCCTTAGGATGCAGACCTTGCACATTGGTCAGTAGGGCCAGTCATGCCCCACCGCCTTCCTCCTCCTCCTCTGCTGCCCCAGCCTCAGGGCTGCTAGACATTCCTCTCAAGGACCCAGTTCCACCCTGGGAGATCGGGCTTTTAAATCAAACACCTGAAGAGCACGAAGTCTGCTTCCCCAGAAGGCCGAAGCCCAGGCCCAGGGACCAGGTGGAGCCAGGCGTGGTGCTGGGAACCCTGCTTCCCATCTCGCCCTCCAGATGAGGGTGGCAAGGCTGGGGAGAGCAGAGGCTGAGCTGCAGGGGAAACAGTGAAATTTCCAGGAATCCTTCACTGCGTCTAACAATCTAATGAGTCACAATGCCAGAGAGGCCATCCAGCAGCCTGCCTGAGATATGGGCTGTTTTCTCCACATGTGTGGTTATTAAGAGCAGGGCTTGAACTGGGCATGTTGGTACACATCTATAATCCCAACACTCTAGGAGGCTGAGGCAGGAAGATCTCAAGTTTGAGCCCAGCCTGGATAGTTTAGTGACTTAGACACTGTCTCAAAATAAAAATTTAAAAAAGGTTGGAGGTAGCTAGTGTGAAGGCCCTGGACTCAACCCCTAGGATCACAAGGGGGGAAAAAAAGAGTGCAGGTTGGGGGCTTCTGGTCTGGTCCACTTGGCCCTGGTCCCTGCCTTCCCACCCTGGCCAGGTTTGACTTGGGTGGCTGCTAGGCCTCTCCCCCTAGTGTTCAGCGCACCTGAGTGAGTACCTCTGGCCCCCAGGAATGCCCAGGAGAGCGTGAACCCTGAGGATGAAGTGGATGAGTTCCTGGGCCGGGCCATTGATGCCAGGAGCATTGACAGGCTGCGCTCTGAGCACGTCCGCAAGTTCCTCCTGACCTTCAGGGAGCCTGACCTGGAGAAGAAGGTGCATGGGCCGTGGGCAGCAGGGCGGTGCCTCGGGTGGTCTCGGGTTCTCCACCCAAACTGCTGCGCCCCTGGGGATGGAGGCTGTAGGGAGACTTCCTTGGTGAGAAGGGATAAGTCTGCACCTCTCTGCCCCTTGGTTTCCTCGTGGAGAAAACAGGGCTGCTTAACATGCCCACCTGGGGACCAGAGTAAGGACTGAATGAGTTCTCTTTGTGCAGGATGTAAAAAGGCATCCACCACGCAGAGGGCATTCAATAACTGCTGATCGCTGTTTGCCATTGTTATTATTGCTGCTACCATTGCTGTTGGGGCACTGGCGCCTCCAGTGTTAGAGTTGGGAGGAGCAGCTAAGATCTGTGTCTCCGCTCTTTTTATATTTTTTTTTATATTTTAGGGTTTTTTTTTTTTGAAACCAAGTCTTGATATGCAGTTCAGGCTGGCCTTGAACTCACTTTGTAGCCTAGGTTGGCCTCAAACTGTCGGCGATCCTCCTGCCTCAGCCTCCCCAATGCAGGGATTGCAGGTGTGCACCACTATGCCTGGCTTCTCCCCTCTTTTTAAAGTTTCAGTGAATGGGAAACTTAAGCTCAGTGATGTTGGGAGATTTGCGCAGGGCCACCCAGTGAAGTGGTGACAGAGCTAGACGCTGGTCCTGGCAGTGCCCTTTGTACCACGTCACAGGGTCTGCAGTGCACAGGTCGGGTGGCTCGGGTGCAGCTCATCAGCATCAAGCATGGCGCACCTGGTTAGCAGAGCAGGGCTGTGAAGGGGAAGGAGGAGGACTTGACCTCGTGCTGCCGCGCTGGGCGGCTGTTTGGGCACCGACCTCCATGAGTGAGGCCGCTTGGTGGTGTGGGAGGAGCGGGCTGGCAGTGAGGTGCTGGAGGTGACCCTGCCTGAACCCCAGGCTGCTCATCTCAGAAGCAGGCGTCCTTGTGAATTACTTGGCCGGTAGCTTGGCCTGCATGGTTTCTGGTTTGACACACGTCCAAGTCCCAGTGTCCCACCAGGAGTTGGACTGGTGTCTTGGCATCTGAGGCCTGCTCTGGTTCTGGGGCCCTCCCTGTGCTGAGTGGGCTGCCCGCGGGCTGAGATTCACTCTGCTGGAGCAGACTGCCCGGCCCCGGCCCTCACCGCGGGCGTCTCCTCTCAGTACTCCAAGCAGGTGGACGACCGCTTTGGTGCCTATGTGGCGTGCGCCTCGCTCGTCTTCCTCTTCATCTGCTCCGTCCAGATCACCATCGTGCCCCAGTAAGTATCCCCATCCCTCCTGGGCTCTTGCAGGATGGGGATGGTCATTTAGGGGAGTAGAAAAGGGTGTCTGGGCTGAAGCTGCTCAGGCAGGGAGAGAGGGTTCCTCAGGTGTCCTCCATGGGACTAGCAAGCCAGAGCTCTGGGGAGGTGAATGGTTGTGCCCAGGTGGAAGATGTCCCACTGGGGGCCGCTCAGCCACAAGAGAAACCCTGCCCACCACCGTATCTCACCCCTCTGACCCATACCTCGCTGCCCGACGGGATCACGCCAGGGTTCTGTTGGCCGGCTTCTGTGTGCCCTTGTCCCCCCACCCCCATCCATACATCTTCAAAAGATAAAGGTTTTCACTACTATGGGTGTCAGAGAACAGGTTTCAGTTTCTGAAGATTTTTCACAAAGAAGCATGGCTGAACTCTACTGAAAACTGGCTCTGCCACGGCGGAGGCCACTTCAAAGTGGGCAGGGGGCTTCTGGAAGTAGAGTTAGTTAAATAGTCATTCATGTTGGAGTCACCTGGGAGAGAGACATAGTCGAACTGTGTATGCATAGCATGTATATGTGTGTGCATGCACATGTGTGTATGTATGCAGATATAGGTGTGTGTATATGTATGTAAATGTTTTTACTTTTTATTAGGAAATCATTCAAACATACAGAAAAGTAATATATTCAATATCCACTCCATAGATATAACAGTAATCTTTTGCTTGTTTGTTTTGTTTTTTTTTTGAGACAGGGTCTCGCTATGCAGTTCAGGCTGGCCTTGAACTCACTTTGTAGCCCAGGCTGGCCTTGAACTCACTTTGTAGCCCAGGCTGGCCCCGAACTTACAATGATCCGATCCTCCTACCTCAGCCTCCCGAGTGCTGGGGTTATAGGTGTGAGCTACCACTCCCGGCCAGTAATCTTTTGCAATATTTGTTTTATCTTTTTTTATTTGTTAGGGAAAATTTAAGGACATTTTGTCCTTAAAAACCTCAGTAGACTTTTCCCTTCTTCACCACAGTATACACCAAATAAAATTCATATAAAAAAAAATTCATACCATTTTTCTGTTATCATTTAACACCCAGTCCATGTTCAAACTTCCAGAAGTGTACCACAAAATGTCTTCTAATCTTGGCTTATTCAGAGCCGGGATCTACCCAGAGTCCTCTGGTTGCATGTGCTTAATCTAAAGAGCGCTCACATCCAACACCTTCTGTTTTTTCATTTTGAGATAATTGTAGACTTACTGAGAAGTTTCGGAAGTAGTAAGAGTTTCTGTGTATCTCTTGCTCAGTTCCCTCGAGGGCTCATAACTTCCCCAGCTGCAGGATAGTGACCAAATCCTGGAAACACCCCAAAATGATGCTGCTCACTAAGCCTTAGACGGTATTCTAATTTCCCTGCTGGTGCTTCCCTGCTAATGTCCCTTGTCATTACAGGAACCACACTGTCTGAAGTCCCACACTGCATTTAGTTGTGGTGTCTCCTTGTCCCTTTCAGACACTGACAGTCCCTCAGGGTTTGGGTGTCTTTTGTGGCTGTGGCACTTTTGATGAGCCCTGGCCAGTTAACTCACAGTGTTTCAGTTTGGGTGAGTCTGATGTTCTGATCAGACTGGGTCATGCACTTTGTTACCAGGGAGTACACGATGCCAGTCTACCTCACTTCCTAATGCCTTTTATGTACGACACTTATTGTTGAAAAGATACCCCTCGGATTCATGGCTGCTGTGACTGTCAGGCCCACAGGTGACAACTAGACTGGCTGCACTGGGTTGCACGAGGCTGTGCAGAGCTGGTGGATCCTAACTGACACATTTTTCTATATTGAAAGGGTATCTCAGTCTCGGAGGTCACCAAGCAACCCGGCTTTGTCCTTTGCAGCAGATGGTCCCTTAGTGTGGGATGTAATCCTGCCTCTGTGCTGTGTCTTCTCTGCAGCATTGCTGGGGCTGGGCCATCCCTGCTCCCGGCAGTGTCTGCGGTGGCTCCACGCTCCCCTCGCCACTATTCCACACGGCTGCAGCGTGGACAGAGGTCGTCCTCTAGCTGTCCCTCTCTGGGAAAGCTTTAAAAGCCGCTTTGAAGAGGATTCCTTTCTCTTGTTCATTTGTTGAAGGCGGCTGAGTGCTGGCCTCTGGGAGCTGGAACAAAGGCGCTGTCTGAGTCCTCCCAGGGTGTCCTGTCCTGCCCCAGGCCTCAGCTGCCTGGAAGCCACCAGCACCACAGTTGGCCTGGCAACTCCAGGCCATTCCTCTCCCTTGGAGGCCAGGGGCGGCCGGTGGGGGTGCTGCCCCTGAGCCAGCCCCCCGCCCCAGGAGGGCAAAGGGAAGTTCCAGAGGGAAAGTCACCTGCGGCTCCTTTGTCTGAGGGTTCTGCTACCATGCCCTGTGATCTGCCTCCAAAGGAGGCGCAGGGCAGACTGCACTTTTCTTACTGAACTGGCTGGGAGGGGAGCAAGAACCGGGTAGGATGTGCTATGGGGCTTGGTGGTGCTATGGGGCTTGGCCATGCGTGGGGCTTGGTGGTGCAGGGGGACAGAGGTCAGGGGCTCTTTCTCAAATGTGCACATCACCCTGCTTCTCAGAGTAGCCAGCTGGGCTGCTGACGTGCATTGCTGCCCATGACGCCCTTTATCAGATCCGTTTTCAGTCCATGAGGTTATTTATTGAGCCATGGGTAACAACATGGGTGGAATAACCAGGTGGTTTTAAAATGAGCCCTTCCAGGCTAAATGAAGCCTTCCTGTGAGAACGAGAATTAGGCAAAATATTGGTCAGGGGTCACTTGCTTCTCCATCCAGCTTCTGTGGCCTGCAGTCCCCCTCGGAGGTGACAGGGTAGGAAGGGCAGGAGCAGACTGGTGCTGTGCAGGGCATGGTGGACCCTCGAGGGCCTTCCCAGGGAGAGAGAAGAAGACTGTGCAGTGGGCATGGGAAATGGAGCAACTTCAGGTTCCCTCCCAGGGCTGTCCATGTCCTGTGCCCCCAAGCCGGGAGGACAGGCCTGGGGACCTGCGGCTTCCCCTCCCCTCTCTCCCCACAGCTCTGTGTTCATGCTGAGCTTCTACGTGACCTGCTTCCTGCTGCTGGCCTTGGTGGTGTTTGTGTCCGTGATCTACTCCTGTGTGAAGGTGAGTCCAGCTGCCCCGGGCCCGAGCAGCACGCTAGGCACCATGCCGGGCCACCGCTCTGGACTGGTGATGGCAGAGAGCCGGACAGGAGACCAACGCCTGGTGTTGGCAGCCTCATTTGGCCCTGGGAATCTTTGCAAGAAGCCGCTGTCTCGTTGCTTTTGTACAAGCCCTCGGTGTCAGGTGGGACGCACAGAGCCTGGCACAAGGAGTGGCCAGTGAGCATTTGATGAAGGAGAAGGAAGGAGTGTGGGAGAGACCTTCACTCCCCAGGTGCCCTGGAATTTGTCCAGCAGGGGCTCCCGAGACCAGCAACAGGGGCGTCATACAGATGAGCAGTGCAGCCCCAGAGGCTCGGAGCTGAGGACGTGCCCCATGGCTGGCTTAGGTGGACTGCACGGTGCAGGGAGGAGCTTGGCTCCTTTCTAGGTCTTCTCCCTCACCATATCTTGGGCTTGCTGTGTCCCGTCTGGGCTGTGTCCCTGCCTGGGACTTGAACTGAGGTCTCCTGTAGAAATCACTTGGGCCCGTTGGCCCCGCTTGCCTAGGCTTTCTCTTCTTCCTTCGCCAGGGAACCGCTGAGGGTTCCCTAGCAGAGTCAGTGTGGCTCTGGAAGGCTCTCTGCCCCCACAGGAGAAACTTGCTCTCCAGCATGCGCCTCACCTCCCTTTCCTGCCAGCACTTGGGCCCTCCTGTGGTATTGGGGGTCAGGCCCACATCGCCCCCTAAATACTCTGCACCGCTCTCTCCTGCTGGAGGAACTGGATCTTTGTTATCTCCAGAGTCCTTTTTCTCTGTCCACTCTGCCAACAGGGCTTTTCATTAGTCACCTCATGGTCAAGGTCTTGGGGGACAGGTCTCAGAACGGGAGGGGTCCCAGGAACCATTAGATGCCTATCCTGCACCTTAGGGCTGCATGCTGACTCCCTGCCGCGCTTCCTGCACGCCCTTCTCGGGCCGCAGGCTCTCTCCTGCTGTGTGCTCCGTTACTTCCGGCCTCTGGTCTGGCTGTCGTTGAGCTCCCAGCCCACAGCCTCTATCCCTAGCAGACAGTTCTGCTGTCTTCATCCTGTGGCTTTGAAAGGATGCCAGATAGTCACATTAGCCAAAGTGAAAGCAACCAAGTATCCATCCACAGATGAATAGATGGATAACATGGGATATGTTTCTCCATAGAAAACTCATCCCCAAAAAGGAATATCATGCTGCCACACACTGTAGCATGGGTGGGCTTGAAAACCCTGCATTGAATGAAAGAACTCAAGGTCACATATTGTCTGATTCTACTAATAGGGAATATCAGGAACAGGCAAACTCAGAGACGGAAGGCAGGTTAGAGGTGACCATCGGCCGGCAGAAGGGCGAATGGGAGGTGTGGCTTCATGGGTAGTTTCTGCTTCCAGTAATGGCAGCAACGATGGTTGCATAGTGTTGTAAATGTAACTGATGCCACTGAGTGGCACACTTAAAAAAATAAAGTGGCCAGGTGTGATGGCGCATACCTGTAATCCTAGAGCTCAAGAGGCAAAGGCAAGAGGATCGCTGTGAGTTCGAGGCCAGCCTGGGCTACAAAGTGAGTTCAGAGGCCAGCCTGAACTGTACAGTAAGACCCTGTCTCAAAAAGACAGAAAAAAGTTAAAATGGCAAATCTTATGATGTATATATTTTACCACGTTAAAAAGTCACAATAACCTTTTAAGAAGCAACTACAGCTGAAAGGACTTCTTGTAAACTTTTTTGTTTAATCCTAAAAAGAAACTTTTTAAAGTAAGTTACAAACTGAGGCAAAATATTTGTTTTATTTTTTTGTTTCAGGTACTTAAATGGCCTGTTTAAATCAGAATCAAACTCTTATATAGGCCAACTTTTTTTTTTCAGTACTGAGGATTGGACACAGGGCCTTCATACTGATCTACACCTTCACCCTCGTTTATTTATTTATTTATTTATTTATTTTTGAGCAGGGTCTCTCTAAGTCCCTAAATTGCCCAGGCTGGGTTCAAACTTGTGATCCTGCTGCCTCAGCCTCCCACAGTGCTAGGAGTACAGGCCTGCACCACCATACAAGCTATAGTTCACCAATTAAAACCAGAACCTGAATGTCCTCTTTCCTGTTGGTGGCTTTGGTAAGGTAGAGCTGCCCCAGTCCCTTTCCATGAGAGGTCCCTGATTTGCAGGCATCCCTGGTGGTTGTCAGGGAGGAGGGGGCTGGTTCCCTGTCCGGCACCAGCCACTTTGAGGTCATACTTGGGTCTAGTAAATTCTTTTTCCCACTGCTCAAAAGTACTTACAGAAGTCAGCCCTGCTTTCTATTGCACTGTTCAGTGTCCCTGTTGTGTTACCACTGTCCAATTCAGTAAGCCTTGATTCCTTTATCAGGCCCAGTGACCTGAGTGCTCTAAGGAGGACTTAGGTGGATCTCCTGCCCTGTCCACGCAACCCTGTCCCCCACACACCCTGCAGCTGGGACTCCCCTGCTTGTAGACTTCAGGGAAGAATGTGTTTAGAAAAAAGTGCTCTGTGGAACCTGCTGCCCAGGCTGGCAGTTGCCATGTCAGATAGATGCCAGCCCTACCCACAGGTCCTGGCTGCCTCCTTCCTGCCCAGCCTCTGATTAGCCACTGTCTGGAAAGCAGCACCCGACAGGAAGTGGTTTGTAATATGAAGCCCGTTTCTGTGTAATCATTCTTCTTCTTTCATGTTGTGGGTTAAACTTTTTGCACATTAAGATGTGAGTAGGGGGAGTCCGCCTCGGGCAAAACAAAGCAGGATATTAATTAACCTGGCTTTTTCCTGGGTGCAGGCCTGGCCTGTCACTGAGCTCCATCCCACACTGACTGCAGGTCGGTGGATGAAGGCTTGCTGTGTCACCTCATCAGGTGCTGACACAAGGCTGATGAACGGCAGTTTTGATAGTTACCCTACACCAGAACTCTGGAATTTTCCATTTTATTTCCCCACTTGCTGAGAAGTCATGGCGTCCCAGTGAGGTAGGAAGATTCCTCAGCTACTCCAGTACGGGCTCTGCTCTTCCAAAGCCAGATGGTTGTCAGGCAGTCTCTTTCTCTGTTTCCTTTGCTTCTCCCCTTACAACAGCAGCTGGGGCTCATTTCCTTAGTTGGGCTTACTTCCCGCAAAATCTTAACCTTTTTGCAGATGCGTGAACACGGTGTGAACTTCCCTGTGTCAGAGCAGTTCCCTGTTCTCTCTTCAGGGTTTCCCCTTTTCCTTTCCAAGTGCTCTGAAGCCCTCATCTTCCTGACCTAGCTCCTTGCGGTTCAAACGCATGCCTAGGTTTCTTGGGGAGGCTCATTCATTGCCTCGGTCTTTGTCTTGTCCCCACGTCTGGTCTCACCTCTCGGAGCATCCGCTACCTTCGGAGCCCTGCTGTCCCCAGGCTGCGGTGACCTCAGGTTGTCCCCCTGGGCCTTCCTGCTGCTGGTGCTGTCTTAGAGGCGAGGGCGATCTGCACCAGCTCCTGCCCATGCTTGGTGCCTGCGCTGCCCGGGCCCCACAGCCACTTTTCTTGGAGAAAACCGTGTTAAATCCTCCTCACCATCACATGTGGTCTGCAGATTCAGGGACTCTCAGAATGGAAGGAGCTCAACCACCCACCTGAATCCCTTATTTAATTAATTAATTTATTTTTTGTCTTTTTTGGGACAGGGTTTCACTATGCAGTGCCCGCTGGCCTTGAACTCACTTTGTAGCTGAGGTGGCCTCGAACTCCCAGTGATCCTCCTGCCTCAGCCTCCCGAGCTGAATCCCTTATTTTAACCCTCCAGAGGGTGAGCCTGCCTGTGCTTGGCAACCATGCCCACATCTCTGGAGTGCAGCCCCTTCCCTTCTTGGCCAGCTCCAGCTGCTCCCTCAGCCTCCCTCCCTGCCCATCACCCTGGGGAGTGACCAGCCCATCCTGGCCCATGGGCAGAAGAGAGCGGCCTTCTTCCCCTCACTGACCCGGGCCTCCGGGTCTCCCTGTGGCTCCTCGGTGCCTGTTACACAGCGCAGCCTCCTCAGCAGCAATGGAGGCTCCTGTGAGCACTGGGACAGCAGCCTGTGTGTTTAAACCCCTTGTCTGCCGGGCTCCCTTCTGGTCCCTCTTGTCTGTCCCACTGACTTCTTGGACCTGACTGTGCGGCTGGGACCTGTGACCAGAGCCTCCTCTAGGCCTTGTCTGCTCTGTGTAATCACCAGACATGCCTCTTACTTTCTCCCCGCGTCTGAATGTAGCCAGGTCCACTTTGCTGACCCTTTGCTTCCTTTCCTTAATATGTCCGTTGACTTCTCAAAGGCTAGGTAAGAACAGTGCTCCACAGCCCTTCTGCCTGCCTCATTTGGCTTCTGAGGTTTTCCTGTCTTTCTCTTTTTTTCCCCTGAAGTAAGATCTTCTGCATTTGTTAACTTCTTGTCAAAGAAGCTGTTTTCTTAAATTTTTTGCCGTCTGATTTCATCACCTTCTTTCATCCCAGCAGTCCCCTGGCCCTGCCTCACAGCCAGCCCAGAGAGACCACCTTGTTGCCTGGAGACACACAGAGGAGCCAGGATCCCATCACGGTCATTAATTATGTCCTCACTCCCACGTATGAAGGTAGATGGATTTGAACTAATCAGATCAGGAATATACTGCTTCTGAACTTTAAAAAAAAATTGGTTCTTTTTCCAAGCTCTGACTGTGAGCAGACATTAAGTGACTACTTTGCAGACACCATGAGGCTGCGGAAACAGTGCAGTCTAGGATCTGCCCGCAGCTGTGGGGAGCCCTGTAAAGAGACTGCCCCAGTAACGAGTTTTCAAATCCAGACGGGGATTAGCAGGGTTGGGATCTGGGCACACAGCTGCACTTTGTGATTACAGGAGATGAGAACCCTGTACACCAGCTCCAGGGTAGGATTTCCAATCTCCTCTGGGCTTCGGTTCTTGGGCTCTGTCTTACTTACCTTTCTCTTGTTGCTGAGACAAAGTACATGATGCCAAGAATTAAGGAAGGAAAGGTTTACTTACCTCACAGTTTGTGGAGGTTTCAGTCCATAATCAGCTGGCTCCAAGGCAGGGTGGCGTGGCTGAAGGGCAGCTATTTAGGGCAATGGAAGACAGCAAAAGCAATAAGCACCAAAAGGGAGAGGAGAGGACAAGTCTCTTTCCCTCCCTAGGCTAGAGCAAAGGTGGACGGGTGCTGGGGGAATGGAATCAAACACCAAAGTTTGGAAACCCTCTGCTATGCCACCTTATTTCACAGTGAGATCCTTAACTCATGCCCAAGGACTTTCTCCATCAGGGGAACACAAGATTCCCTGAATGAGAAACAGGACTTTCATTTTTATTGGCAGCATAGCTTTTTAAAATAAAATATTAGGACCAGGCGCATGGGGGGCCCTGAGTTTAGTCACCAGCACCATGGGAAAAATAAACAAATATTAACGGACTTTTCTATTGCATTTAGCAGTTTATGAAGCACCCATTTCATTGGGTCTTCCATAGCCACTCAAGGAGACAGGGATTCCCTATTTACTGACAAGGGAGCTGAAACTAAGAAGTTAACCATGTCCCCAAGGTCACACAGCAAGTAAGAGGCTGAGCAGGGTTTTTTAAAAATTAAAAACTACATTGAGATGTAATTCACACACTATAAAACTCATCTTTAGAAAGGTGGATGAACTTTTAATTCACTAGTTTTTAGCACATTCACAGAGTTGTATAACTATTGCCACTGTCTCATTCCAGAGCCTTGTCCCCAAAAAGAAACCTTGTGTTCACTAGTAGTCACTGACAACCACTAATCTGCTTTCTCTCTATGAACCGCATGTTCTGGATGTCCCATCTAAGTGGAAGCACACAATGTGTGGCCATTTGAGGCTGGCTGCTTTTACTTTGCCTACTAGATTCAAGGTTTGTCCACGCTGTGACATGTAGCAGCACTTTGTTCCTTTTTGTGATTCAGTGGTACCCCATTGTGTGACTGAGTCACATTTTGTTTATCCCTTTCTCAGCTGATGGTTTTTTGAGTAGTCGAATGTTCAGGTTATTATGGATAATGCTGCTGTGGACATGGGTACACAGGTTTCTGTACAAAGCCCTGTTTTCAGTTATTTTGGATATATTCCCAGAAGTGGAGTTGCAGGATCATATAAAAGTCTGTTTTATACAAAAATCCTGTTTTATATTTTGAGAAGCCATCATACTCTTCCACAGAAGCCACACTATTTTACATTCCCAACAGCAATACACAAGGGTTTCAATTTCTTCATCTCTTCATTACTTTTTCATGTTCTTGATGTTCCTATTTATTGCACAAAATTTTTAAAATTTTGAGGAAGTCCAATTCATTTTTTTTCATTTTTGCCAGTGTTTCTGATGACATCTTTAAAAAACCATCTTCTTGTAAGGTCTTATAGTTCTAAAACTTGCATCTAGTTCTGTGAGTTAATTTTGGTATATGGTGTGAGGTAGGGTCCCAACTCCATTTTTTGCAAGTAGATATCCATTGTCCTATTACCATTTGTTAAAAAGACTCTTCTTCTCTGTTGATTGTCTTGGCAGCCTTGTCAAATCAAGTGATCATACACTCCTCCAGGTCATATCCCCCACAACCCATTTCTGCTGAAGACTTGAGGGAGGCCTGTTAGGTCTAAGCTACGACACCCACTGCAGTCCCTTGGGGACAGCATGATGGTCCTGCTGGATGCTGTCGGGTAGTGGTGTTGCCTTGCAATCCAGGAACTTCTTGAGCTGGGAGCAAACATGGCAGTGCACAGCTAGACCCCTTCCCACAGGAGTGAGCAGCTGTGATCATGCAATGGTCCCTTGACCTACTTTGTCGTCTATGTGACCAACTGCAGAGGCTCAGCATCGGGAGGGTAGGCCTTGTGGTCTGGCACAGTTGGCATTGGCCTGTGGCAAGAAGAAGCTTTGTCTATTTCATCGACCATAAAAGTGACAGGTGCTCCTGCAGATGGGGAGCTTTCAGATTGGGGTGTGGCCTCCTCCCGGAGCACAGGCTCCCTGCCTCCTGCTCCTGTGCCTTCTCCATCCTCAGGGACACTGGGAAGCCTGCAGCAGACAGGACTTAGTGTAAAGGAGCAGGGGCGGAGAGGCCCACGTCCCTTACTTGCTTCTGTGTCCCTCCTCTTTGTTAGCCCACATTGCATGGGAGATGAGAAGGACCTCGGGTACAAGGCCAGCTGTGTCAGATCGGGTGGCAGCAGTGGGGCGTAGGAGGTGGATGTTGAATTAAAGCCGCTTGGGTCTTGGAGGGGACACGTGGTGTGTCTGGCAGAGAGCACAGAGAAGGGCCTGGCAAGGGAAATGGTAACGGCTGGAGCTGTGCTCAGTGCCCATTGTCCAGGCCCCCACCCTCCTGATGCTGCTGCCCTGCTCCTTTACAAACCCAGTCTCTACTTCTAAACACCCGGTCCTCTCTGTGTCCCTTCCTTCCAGGAAACCTCCCAGCCTCCCCAGAAAGCCAGGGCCCCTCGTGGCTCCTCAGCTGCCCGGCTGCCCTCCTTGATGGAACCCCAGGCCCAGGGCTCATACAGTGGGTGCATGGGCTTGTCCAGCCCCTTCCCTGCCCCTTGCCCAGGGCTCCCTCTCATGGCCGGCTGCTGTGAGGCGGGAGCCTTGCAGGCTGGGAGGGGTTTGGGCAGGCCCCGGGTACGACCCTGGGGACACTGTGGGTCCTCACTAAATGCTATCGCCTCTCCCCCAGCTCTTCCCCAGCCCACTGCAGACCCTCTCCAAGAAGATCGTGCGGTCCAAGATGAACAGCACACTGGTCGGGGTGTTCACCATCACCCTGGTGTTCTTGTCGTCTTTTGTCAACATGGTGGGTGACTCTGTGTGCTCCTGGCACCTCCCCAGTCCCATGGGATCGAAAGCAGGGAGCCCTGTGCCCCACGGTGTGGGCGAGGGGAGGGTCCCTGGAAACTCCTTGTCTCACCTCAGTGTATCTGATCTGACACAGAAGAGCTTGGAAGAGGACAGGGGTGTCCCCAAGGCAGGCTTACAGGGTCCTGCCCCAGGAGGGCATGCTGGACACAGCCCCTCCTGCCAGGGCGCTGGGCAAACTGTGCTGGGTGTGCAGCCTCTGCCAGTCTCTGGCTTCGTCCCATTCTGAGTGTGGCTGTCCCTGAAATGGGGACAGCCAGGCTCCCGCTGCCCAGCCAAGCCCCTGGGCTGATCTGGTCCCACTGCCCTCTTGCCCGCCCCAGTTCACCTGCAACGCCAAGGACCTGGTGGGCTGCCTGGCGGAGGAGCACAACATCAGCGCAAGCCAGGTCAACGCGTGCCACGTGGCAGAGTCGGCCTTCAACTACAGCCTGGGCGACGAGCAGGGCTTCTGCGGCAGCCTGTGGCCCAACTGCCATTTCCCCGAGGTACGGACTGGAGCGGCCCCTACCCTTCCCCTCTTCCCAGGCGCCCTTCTCAGTCTCAGCACCCACTTGCAGGATCCTTGTGCCAAGCACCCCTGGTGCTAACAAGGCTCTTACTCAGATAGCTCGTGCTCGCTGGGTGCCCGGCGCTGTTACTTGGCAGATCCTCATCACAGCCCTGTGACGGTACTGCTTTATCCATGCAGAGAGCAAGAGCCTGATGGATAGAGAGACAGATTAAGTAGCTTGCTTAAGGTCACACAGCTAGTGAGTTGCAGAGCCAGAGCTCTCATGCAAGGGGCCTGGCTCCAGAGTTCACGCTTCTCCCCCGAGCGCAAAATGTTTAGGGCCATCTGTCTCTTCACCTGCCTCAGGAGAGCCTGCCCAAACCCCAGCTATTAAGGTCTGCAGGCAGAAAGGGGAGCAAAGGGAACCCCGACCCAGGCCAGTACTACTACGAACTTGTTCCAAGTGTATAGCGCAGTCGCTTTCAGTGTGTTCACAGCGCTGCACAGACATCCCCTTTAGAGCACTTTCACCACCTCAAAAGAGAGATCCTGACCCGGCAGGCATCTGAGGAGAACCCTCGCTGGGTGGGTGGTGGGCCTCAGTGGCTGGGAGCGCACAGCAGGGCAGGGCTTCCCGCCAGCACCTGCTCCGATGGGGCGGTTCCCTCGCCCGAGCTCCCTGGGAGCTCATGTGAACCCTGTGAGGTGAAGGCTGTGTCCGCCCTGTTCTGGGAAGAAAGTGTCTGCCTTCTTCCGGGTCCCCCAGTGCAGTCTCAGAACACACACCACCTCCTTCTGCTCTGGAAGGAGCGACCATCTCCCCTGGTACACCTGGGGCGAGGGGAAGGAAGCCCTGTGGGGAGCAGGCTGGTGCCGCGTCCCCCAGACAGGTGCTGTCCTGTGCCTGGGCCCGGACTGGCCTCTGGCAGCTTGGGGAGCAGCCTCCATTTCCAGCCTCTGCCCCTCTCATGTCCGTCCCATGCTTCCTGAGGGCTGTTTGCTGTGGAGCAGAGCCTGCTTGGTCTCATCCTGGGCCCTGGGGTTGCGGGAGTGGATTCCCATGGCAGAAGCTGGGGCCTGGGAGAAGAGGCCAGTGGGGATGTTCCTGCTCTGCTTGGGGGAGGTGGTTGGGCCCAGCCTGTGGCCCGCCCCACCTGCTCAGTTTCAGCCCGCTGCCCTGCGCCCTGCGTGCTGTCCCTGGGGCTCAGCCAGCCTCTCAGACCTAGGTCCTTGGGAGACCCCAGCATGAACCTTGGCCTCCCCTCTGCCTGGGCCTGGGGTCTAAAGCAAGGCACTCTCCCTGCCCACAGGCCGGACCTCTGGGGCTGAATCTTCAGGGTGTACCCTCCTTGCCTTCCACTGCCCCAGGTCAGCCCTCCACAGTCCCTCACTTGACTGCTGAGGGCTGGGGAGGTCCAGCCTGGGGCCTTCCCACTTGCTAGCTCAAGGCAGAGGCTGTGCGGAAGTAGGCTGGAGCCAGCTCAGAAATCATGGCGCTAAATTTAGAAGAAAGAACAGAGTCAGAGGTGGGGACGCATCTAGAAGCAACATCAGGGGCCACCTTGAGAGGGACTCGGCTGGTCCAGCCCTCACTTACCTAAGAAGTACACTCGAAGCTCCCCAGGGTAGACGGCACAAGGCTTCAGTCTCATCCGAAGCCTTTGAGGGCCAACGTAATTCTTTAAAATTATTTATTTTTTATTAGTATGTTTGCCATACATAACGATCCCATTCATCATAGGGAATTTGTATCTGTATATATCTTAGTACATTTTCCCTGTTCCCCTCCCCTCCCTTCAGCCCTTCTTCCCCTCCCCATTTATAAAAGTTTTGTTTCCATTTTTTTCCTTCCATTCTTTCCCAGTTTTTCCGTTCTCGTTTGCCAGTGTAGTTTAAGCTGCAGGATGTTCAGATTTTCAAAGGTTGCCTTCCACCCCCGAGAAGAGGCTGGGTGGAAGCTCATAGCGAAACAATAACATTGCAGTAGTCGGGGATAGATCGTCATGGGAAGCCAGATAAGGACGGTTGTTCGTGGCACATCAGTTAGGACAGGTTTGTCACCAAAGCAGGTCAGCTCCGGTGTTACCACCACGTGGATTGCGAGCACACTCTCAGTTCTTAGAGCTGTGGGTTTCAGAATTGTAAATCGGGGTCATGAGAGGCGCCGTCTTATGAGATGGGTCCATGAGCCGGAGGGTCAGGGCCAGCGGGGCTGAGGAAATGGTCCAAGGCACGCAGCCTGTTGCAAGCAGTGATAGGCCCCTTTGGCCTGAGCCTTAGGCCCACTTCAAACAAGCCCCATCCCCGGTTCCTAACCAGGCTCTTTACAGAATTCACATTCCTGGACCCCTGCACCTGAGGTGGGCACAGGCGGAGGAGAGGCTGGGCGGGGCAGCTGGAAGGGCAGGGCGGGGCTGACAGCTGCCCTCTCCCCACAGTACTTCACCTACAGCGTGCTGCTCAGCCTGCTGGCCTGCTCCGTGTTCCTGCAGATCAGCTGCATCGGGAAGCTGGTGCTCATGCTTGCCATCGAGCTCATCTACGTGCTGGTCATTGAGGTGCCTGGAGTCACGCTCTTTGACAACGCCGACCTGCTGGTCACCGCCAACGCCATGTAGGTGGCTGTCTTAGTTACTTTTCTCTCATTCCTGAGACAAAATACACGACACCCAGAGTTAAAGAGGAAAGATTTATTTAGCTCACAATGTGTAGAGGTTTCAGTGCATAATTGGCTGGTTCCAAGGCAGGGTGGCATGGCAGAGAACAGTTTGTGGTGGTGGAGCACAGCAAAACAACAAGAGAAGAAGACAAGCCCCTTTCCACCTCTTTTATTGTATCCAGTCTACTGGGATTAGGGCGGTGCCGATCCCATCAGTGGACTGATCCAGTAATCACCCACCCTTAATCCTGGCACCCTTAATCCCAGCATGGTACCAGCAGTCAGTCACACCTAGATTCAGCCACCTCTGAAAAAACCCTATGATCAGTGGGGCTTTGGGGGGACATCTAGACACAAGCCATAACAGTGGCCTCTTCACCTGGTCGAGTGCGTGGCAGGAGACAGGAGACAGGAGAGTCTGGATCTTGGAAATGTCAAGATCTGACCCAGCCCTGGCTACCGGGCAGAGCGCCGCAGGATCTTGCTGCTTGGCTCCGCTCTCCCTGTTGCCCGGGTGGCCTCTCTGTCTCTGGTTCACTCCCCACCCGCTGCTGCCCTCAAGCCTCAGTGAGTTTTTCCTCACTTCTTGGGGCAGCCTGTGCTGGGCTGTTTTCCTCTAATTCCAGCTGCCTGTGTGCTGAAGCCCAGAGAGGTCGCATTTCACCAGAGTGGGTAGCAAGGGCTTGGGAGCAGGGCACCTTTGTGGCTTAGGGGCTGTGTCCTATCTGGACCCAGGCATTATCCCGTCCTCTTCAGAGCAACCAGCAGGCCCACCATATCCAGTTGGGCATTTGTGCACTCCTCAGGGCTCTTGGCTGTGAGGGCAGGGGTCAGATCCAGCTACCTGGCGTGCTGCGTGTGAGGGTTGTGCCCCTGGCTGTCTGGCCCCAGTCAGTCCTATTGGGTGACAGATGTCAGATTTCAGTTGTCAGTTTGAGTCTCAGCTTCAGGCATTTGGTTATTCTCGCGAACCAAAATAGTTTTTCCTAAAATGGGAATAATACCCAGAGTAGCCAAATGGATATCAGATGCCTTCTCTGTGGTATAGCCTGGAGAGCTTTTCACTGCCCCTATACACACACGTGCCCGAAGTGCAAAACCTGAACACACGCAGAGGTCCCCTGAGAAAAATGCACCTAGCTGCACCTTCTCCAGGAGGAAGAGCCCCTTGCACCTCTGCTTGTTTGCTCATCACGCACGTGGTCAGGGCCACTTTTCCAGGCCTGCAGTGCCGGCCCTGAGCTGGGCTGTGATGGGACACTGGGGCACAACTGATGACCCAGCCAGACCATGCCTTTCTGGTGAAAGGAGTGGAGCTGCAACGAAGGATCCAAGTCAGATTCAAGTGGGAACTTCCAGCAGGCATGCGCAGCTGTGGGCAGATGACAGGAAGACTCTGACACCTAGAAGGATCCCTGTGCTGCTGAGAACAGTGGGAGCTGCAGGCCTGGGAGGAGGAGGAGGAGGAGAAGGAGAAAGAGGAAGAGGAAGAAGAGGATGGGAGGCCTGGGCCTCTGGTTCCCATGGATCTAGGATCTGGGCCTCTTTCTCTTCCCTGCTCCTCTCTCAGCCTCTCCTCTCCTCTTCCGGGAATGCAGGTCCTTCTGTGTTGGAGCCTGCGGCGGCTCGAGAGCAGTGCTCTCCCGTAGATAAGTAGTGCAAGCCACATAGCAGATTTCACATTTTCAGGTAGCTGTATTAAAAAGGCAAAAGTGCAATTAACTTTAATAGCGCTATTATTTAGCCAGTCTATCTCCAATATTTAAACATGTGAACAATTATTTTAAATTACATTATTTAAAACAATAATTTAAAATTATTAACAAAATATTTTTACCTTTTTCCACACGACTCATAATCTGGTATATGTTTACACTCACAGCTTCTCTCAGTGTTCTTTAGGGGGCGCTGGCGATGGAACCCATGGTCTCAAGCGTGCTGAGCAAGTGCTTTGCCACAGAGCTGCACACCCAGCCCGCTGGCCACATCCAAGGCTCAGTAGCCAGGTGGACAGCAGCTGCCCCTTGGGACAGTGCAGGTGTAGGGCTCCCCGCTGCTGCCTCTGGCCTCCAGCACCGGGCTGACCTGGGTGGGCAGGCACAGGTGTCTGTCCAGGTGGGGTGGATGCAGGCAGGGTCCCGGGCAAGCTTTGGATGCTTTGTAGCTACGGAGGCCAGATGCAGGTTGGGCTGGGTTTTCCACAGCCTCTCTGCTGAATGCCCTGGGGTTCCGAGGGGTGCTGGGGGAGAGGAGCAGAAGGAGGGAGGATGACAGGGTGGGTGTTGGGGTGGTCTGGAATGGGGGCCGGCCAGGAGGCTGTTGTCCATGGGAGAGCCTCCTGAGCAGTGTCCCCCGACTTCCGTCCACAGAGACTTCAGCAACAATGGGACCTCCCAGTGGTAAGTGCCGCTCCTGCTCTGTAGCGCCCCTCCCTGCCCTTGGCACAGCGGGTGGAGGAAGCCGTTGTCCCATGGGCAAGGCCTGTGTTGGGGTGCGCAGGAGGGGGGTGGAGTGATCTTGTCAAGGGAGCAGGGCCCGCAGGGGTGGACACCCTTCTGCAGTGTTTTCCTCTCATCATCTCAAGGTGAGCCGTAGGCTCTGTGGCCAGCTCCGCAGGGCTAAGATCATTCCCCAGGCCTCCTCCTAAAGCCTCACCTTCAGCTTCTCCAGGAGCCCACAGGCGGCCCCTGACAGAGGAGTGTGTGCCTGCTATCCCTCAGCCTTGACTGTGGGTGTCCTGACCTTATTCCAGTCACAGATGAGGAAACTTAAGAACAGAGAGGAGCCAGGCATTGTGGTGCTTGCCTGTAATCCTAGCACCTGGAAGGCTGAAGCAGGAGGATCAAAAGTTCAAGCCTTGCCTGGGCAACTTAGTGAGATGCTGTCCCAAAATAAAAAGGCTGGAGATGTTGCTCACTGTGAAGGGCTGCAGAAAGGCTCCCAGGAAGAGGCAGAACTCAGCCGACATTCAGGGGGATGGGTGGCTGATGGGAGGAAGCAAAAGACAGAGTCCTGAGAGTGCTGTGCAAACCAGTGGCCTCAGGCCTGTCTGCCTCACACTTGCAGCCCTGAGCATGCGACCAAGGTGGCGCTGAAGGTGGTGACGCCCATCATCATCTCAGTCTTCGTGCTGGCCCTATACCTGCACGCCCAGCAGGTGGAGTCCACGGCCCGCCTTGACTTCCTCTGGAAACTGCAGGTGGGTGTCTGGGTGGAGCTGGCCTGGGCCTCAGCCCTGCACCTCAGGATGTCTTGCACAAGTTGCACCCTAGCTGCCCTGAGTCCCGGTCAGCTGCCGCTCTCTGCTTTCTGGGGCCAAGAGGCAAGACCCCAGGGCTTACAGAATGTCCTGCCAGTGCCTGGGAGGTGTGCTTTGGCCTCAGCAAATGCTGCCTGAGCTCTTCCCGTGTGTGTCACAGGCCTGGGAGAGCCGGAGGCCACTTTGTGTGGAGGCAGCAGGGTGTCCTGGGTGGAGGGTGATGGGAGGCGAGGGAGGAGAGGGCCCAGTATGGCAGCTGCCGCCAGGGGCTGCTGTGTGGGCTGGGTGTGACGATGCCTTCCAGAAGGACCAAAGGCACATCTAGTCCTCAGCAGGGAGCCTGGCTGTGGCAAGTGTAGGGCTCCTGCTCGGTACACAGGAAGCTCTCCAGGCTACGCCCTGTCCTATCGGATTGTGTCTACCTGGAGGAAGGTCGTCTGCAGGTGAGGCAGATAGTGGTGACCTGAGGCCTCTTGTCAGGAGGGTGCTGTCTTCCATGTGGGTTGCCTCAGACCTTGGACTCTGGCCCCTTGCCAGGCTTGGGCATCACCTGGCCTTCTCACCTCTCTTGGCCTGGCCCCTGGCTGAAGAGCAGCTTGCTTAGACTTTCTGCACCCCCAACTCATAAACTGTGAGCGGGGGCTGAGCACGAGAAGATGGCTGCCTGGGCCCTTCTCTGGGAACTGTTGAGTGGGGTCAGACAGGCTGCAACCAGGGCTGGTCCTCCCTAGCCAGGGACCCTGAGAGGGTGGTGGCACCTGTCCATCTTCTTGGAGAGCAGAAGTCTCCCAGCTTCCCCCTGGCACTGACCCTTCCAGACTCAGACAGCCATGGCTTTGGGAGTCTCTGAATCAAGAAGGGCCATGTTGGTGACAGGAAGAAGACTTCCTTTGTCCCCGGGGTCTGAGGCCCCACCCTAGGTCCAAACCAGTCTGGACCCCATGCCAAACCTGAGGTCACTCAGTCCCGCAGCGGCCTCGCTCTCCTCCCCGGCTTCACCGAGGGCGCCTGTGTTCTCAGCCTGGCCCCAGGCACCCCTGATGTTGCTGCTCTTTCCTCCCTGACCTCCCTCTCCAGGTCTCTAGCTAACCTTCCCAACTGTCATCTTTTTATTTTTGGTAAGTTCTGGAAATTAATTTTAAACCTACAGAAAAGTTAGAAGAACAGCAGGAAGAAATCCAGCAGCCCCTTCCTCACTTCGCAGCTGTGGCTCCCCTGCTGTCTAATTCTGTGATGACATCCCCCGGGCCCTCTGGTGTCCTTCCGAGAACAGGCACGCCCCCTCCCCTGCGTCCTCTGCAGCGGGATGCATGCACATGCTGGGGCTGCAGTGTCACACGGGCTCTCCAGGAGTGCTGTGTGTTTAGTTGTCTTGTCTCCTCAGTCTTTCCTTGTTCCAAAGGTTTTAAGCATCTTAACAGCTTGTTATTCCCATGTCCTTAAGCTCCGCATTCAGAACACAGCCCCCTGGGGCGATGCCAGCTCGTGGCACTCTGGGCGGCCTCCTTCTGTGCTTGTCAGGTGCCAGCCTTCCATAAGGGTGAGCTCTCTCAAGACCCCACTGATCTGCTTGTTCATTCACTTATCCATCGGTATCTGCTCAGCCTAAACCCAGGGTTTAGGGTTATAATCTGCCACTTTCACCATTCATCGGAAGGCTCAGATTGCCTTAGGTTCGGCTCCTGTGCCTTTCTTCGAGGCAGCTTCTGTGTCGTTGGACATGGCTCCATCATTCTTTGAGCTCATGTTTTTCTAGTACAAGATGTCTGATGCTTTCCGGCTCCAGCCCAGGAACCAGGGATTTCTTCAGAGCATGAGCTTCTGCCCTGGGGCTCCCCCTCCTGGCTGGGCCCAGGTTCCGTAGTCTTGGGACCCTGTGCCACCTGCTTCCCCATGGACAGCCGCTCCCCACAGGGGGACCAGGGTGTGAGACGCTGTCCAGCCCTGCTGGAGGCTCTGGTTGCAGCTGAACAGTAGGAAAGGCTGAGCAGGCAGGCGAGATGCTAATGACCCCGTATAAATAGCCCTTCTTGGACCTCATCGTGGTCTGAGGAAGTTTATACTTGTAATCCCAGGGGAAAGTTACTGGAATTTCAGTAAACTGATTGCTTCTAGGGCAACCCATGGTAAGAAGAAAGACACTAAGGCTTATTTGTAGTTGTGGGGAGCCAAGGAGTTCCTAAATCCAGTTAGAACAATGGCTAACTGGAACAAAGGCCTTCACCCAGGACCAAACCCAGGTTTTATTAATTTGTGAAGAGGGGAGTGGCTTAGGGATGAGGGACTGTGCTTGTGGTGCTGTGAGCTGGGCTAGAAGCCTGAAATCACCTCTGCAGTACGCAGAGAGAGAGAGAGATATGCAGGAAAAGTAACTGAATATCATAGATTGGGGCAGTATCTAGTGTTTTGGGGTCGGTGTTTCAGTTCTGATGTGTAATCATCATGCCCTGAGATGTCCTAGCCTCTCCGTCAAAGCTCAGTCTCAGCGTGGCGTCACTCGGTGTAGCTCATACATACTACTTGGGAGCTATAGGCGGGGCGTCAGTGAAAGACTACACATCAGCACCTCAGCTACACCCATTTGCATTGCTTAAAGCCAACTGAGGGGGTAAAGAAATATCCTAGCCAGCTCTCCAATAGATATCAATCACGGAATACAATACACAGAAGATTGTATATATACAATCTATATCAATACACGGAAGTAGGGCCAAATGCTCCTCTTTCAAGGGGAGCTATCCAGGCGGTCCTCCACACCCCTGCCCTGCCTCCTTCACTCCCAGCTAGAGAGGGCTAGCTGGCATCTCGTGGCTTCTGCACCTCCTGGCCACACTGGCTCTGGAGTGAGTCTGCTTCACGAGAACCAGAGATGGGAAGGCTCTGGGCCATTTTCCCCTGTGGGGTCAGTGGGTTAAAGCAACCCTGGTCAGACTTTTTTCTGGTATTAAGAGGGAAACAAAAGGTGAGGACGGGGGGCTCCCTTGGAGAGCCCAAGGGTTGTGTGGGTGTGGGTTTGGGTCATGCCCTTCCCCTGCAGTTCCAGTCCGGGGCAGACACAGTTCCTCCAGGCTCCCCTCCAGACCGGAGTCCACTCTGCTTCCCTCCTCTGGGGTCAGCTCAAGCGTGTCGCTTTCCAGGAGGCAGCAGGGAGAGTTAGACCTTAGCAAGGTCTTCAATGTCTTCTTTCCCACGGTGGAAGTAACGCTTGGAAGCAGGGATGGCAGAGAGAGGGGCAGAGACAGCTGGGCACTGGCTGGGCACATGCTCGCACTGGTGTGACTCTCATTGCCTTTCCAAGTAGGCCATCACTCGGCCCTGCTCTGACCACGTCCTCTGTCCCTAGGCCACGGAGGAGAAGGAGGAGATGGAGGAGCTGCAGGCCTACAACCGGCGGCTGCTGCACAACATCCTGCCCAAGGATGTGGCGGCCCACTTCTTGGCCCGTGAACGGCGCAATGATGAGCTCTACTACCAGTCGTGCGAGTGCGTGGCCGTCATGTTCGCCTCCATTGCCAACTTCTCGGAGTTCTACGTGGAACTGGAGGCCAACAACGAGGGCGTTGAGTGCCTGCGGCTGCTCAATGAGATCATCGCCGACTTTGACGAGGTGCTCCTAAGGGTCCTCTGGGTCCCAGGTCCCTGTCCCTCCAGCTGGGTGTGAGCATCAGTGACAGAGGCTGGCCATGTCCCAGGCATCTTGTACACATGACAGATGAGGAAATTGAGGCCTGCAACCTTGAGTGTCTCTTGGAAGGTCACTGGATTTCAGTCCAGGCTGTTCAAATTTAACCTTCAGGACCTCAGCACCCAGGACAGCTTAGCGTCTGTGGCCAGGGCTTTAGGAGGATTAGGGGAAGGAAGTGTCCCGGGGACCCTGGACGCGGAGACAGAAACACAGTTCCCACCGTGCATCCCTGGCGCGTGTGACCAGTAGGCGGGAACGCTGGGACGGGGAGGGTGAGAGGCACAGGCTCGTCAGCCTGGGGTGGGGGCTGGACACAGACGGCAGGCTCTAGGAAGGCTCCTGGCAGGGCGGGCAGACGGGCAGGTGTCTCACTGGCAAACATGAGGTTTCCCTGGGCTGGTGGAGGCTGTGAGTGCTGGAGGGGAGACGGCGCGACAAGTGACTTGTCTTTTGGGCTCCTGGTCGGGGGTGGGCAGGTCAGCCACAGTCACTGTGCAGTGTCCCACCAAGTCAGTGCCTCCACCACATGCGGAGGGGGACCCTGAGGGGCCATGCTGCTGCGCTTCCCTGGACCTGTCTGTCCCTGCCTGTGCCCCAGACTTGAGGGTGACCAGGTTTGGCCTCCTGTGCAGATCATCAGCGAGGATCGGTTCAGGCAGCTGGAGAAGATCAAAACCATTGGCAGCACCTACATGGCTGCCTCGGGCCTCAACGACTCCACCTATGACAAGGTGGGCAAGACCCACATCAAAGCCCTGGCTGACTTCGCCATGAAGCTGATGGACCAGATGAAGTACATCAACGAGCACTCCTTCAATAACTTCCAGATGAAGATTGGTGAGTGCAGGGCATTCCCCACATCCCTGTCACAGAGTCTGACAGCAGGAAAGGATGGCCTAATAGTGCATGTCCCTCGCCAGGGCACGGGGCATCCAATCACTCATAGCGGAAGCCACCTGGGCAGCAGCGTCCCTGCTGTGTGTTGGTAGGGGACACCTATTTTAATTTTCTGGCAGTATCATGGATTAAACCCAGAGCCTTTGTACTAAACTGCAGTTCCAGCCCTTTTTCTATTTTTTAAATTTTGAGGCACGGTCTCACTAAGTTGGCCCAAGATGGGCTCAAACCTGCAATCCTTCTGCTTCAGCGTCCCAAAGTACTGGGATTACAGGCTTGCACCACCACACCAAGATTATAGTTCAATTTTTTTTTTAGCTTTTTAAAAAGAGCAGTGCTATAAACCAAAATGAGTCGTAGGTTATTGCTGATTTTGATGACAAAATCCAGCCGCTGTAAAAACTTTCCTGCTCTTCCTGAACTTGGGAGGGAAGGGGCAGAGGTGTGTGATAAGCTGTGCCCATCAACATCCCCACAATCCGTCTTCAGCAGTGCACTCCCTGGAAGCTTGCGCTTCATGGACACGTGTGTGTGTGTGTGCACGTGTGTGTGTGTGTGTGCGCGTGTGTGTGCATGTGTGCTGTTGCTGCTGAAGATGGAGAGGTTCTGAGCAGAGGCCCTGGATTGGCTTCAAAATAGGGCCCTCGTCTACTTGTTCAGAAGAATCTTTGAATCAGAAGCACATTTTTCTTTTTTCACATTTAATCGTTAGTACCCCAACCTTTTATTTGGGTCACTTTCACCTCTGAAGAAGGGTAAAAGAACTGTACAGTAAACACCCACGTGCATTTACACACTCAGCAGCCTCCCCCTGCTCCTGCAACAAAGTGATTTCAGAATTGCACCTCTGCCTGTGTTGTTCTGCAAAGCTCAGGACACAGGACGCTCTGCAGCTTGTCCTTAGGATGTGTCTCACCAGGGTAGTCTGACAGAGAGCGCCCCTTCTACAACAGGAACTTTGTCCAGGGTTCTTCTCCCATCTGGGGGTTTGTGGAGGTGGCAGATGCTTTCTAAAAGAGCAGATCTTCGGTCTGTGCAGAATTCTCATGCATTATCCACTCCCTGGGTATGTCTCAAGGCATAAATGATTTAGATTTCAAATTTGAAAGAAGTAACAGTAACCCACTCACCAGAAAATTACTGGGATTTAATTCTCAGAATTAGCACACTAAACTGAAATATGGGGTTACTAAAACCAATACTGTGATCGTTAACATCCTTGGGGAAGCGTGTGGCTCTGGCCTAAGTGTCAGGAACTGGGCTGCCCCTGAGCCTGCCCCTTCAGCTGTCCTCGGCACAGTGCTTGTGGACCTGACCAGGTTTCCATTGTGCAGTGCTGCTGGAAAGCCCAACAGAACCAGCTCTGGGGATCTACTGGTACAGCCTGCAATTTTGTATTAATTTCACTCCTAGTTTCATGTATTATCTCCATTTTCATTTTGCTTTCACTCCATTTCATCCATCCGCAGCCATTTGTGTTTTTCTCCTGTTGCATATTTTTGTATACTACCTCAGCTCTTTTATTGGGCTGGACTGGGGACTGAGCCACCAAATCCAGCAAGAGGTGGGTGGGTGTGGTCTGTTCCTATGGAGTAGCTCCTTCGTGGTGTGACCTCTGAAAAGAGCTGGGTGGCCAGTGAGGTAGACAGTCCCTCCTGGAATAGCTTGTGGGGTAAAGAAAGAAGCGTGTGCCTTTGACAGGACTCAGAGAAAGAGGAAACTTGAGCAGGGACCTGGGTCAGAAGCCAGAACAGAGGGAGAGAAAAGGAGAAGCAAGGAAGGGGGAAGTAGCACTTTGTAAATGTTAACCTGAGATGAGAGTGCATGTTCCAGTCTCCCTGAAGCAGGAATATGAAGACAAGGCAATTGGATTATGTAAGAGGGCACTGCAGACTTGCTGAGGGCACTCCTGGCAGGAGGCTTGCAAGGGTGGTGAGGACTCAGGAGCGGGATGAGTGCGGGAGTTCCAGCTTTCCGAATTAGCATGATGGACGGAGCAGAGAGGTGGGAGACGGCAGGGTTGAGGTGGCTCTCAGGGAGATCCCGCAGTGGGTGGCGAGAGGACGCTGGTGAGGGCAAACAAAGCAAGCACTGGTCTTCACCTGAGGAGTGTGGCTGACTTTTGTCCCCTGCAGGGCTCAACATTGGCCCAGTGGTGGCCGGGGTGATTGGGGCTCGAAAACCTCAGTACGACATCTGGGGCAATACGGTGAACGTGGCCAGCCGCATGGACAGCACTGGTGTGCCTGACCGCATCCAGGTGAGTGCGGGAGCATCGGTGCGCACATCACCTATGTGAGGGGACCCGTGTGATCCTGAGGTCTTCAGGGCAGGCCACTCACAGTTCCCAGTCATAACTTTTGCTCCAAATATAAAGCGACGAAGCAGTTAGTGCTGATGTCTTGGAGAACAGGACTGCATCCAGCCCTTAGCACCTTGGACAGATCCCCAGGCCTGTGCAGAGCCCTCTGCTGGGCACAGAAGGAATCGAGCAGATGAGTTCGGATCCATGGCTGCTGCTGGCTCCTGGGGACCCACAGGACCTGCCCAGCCAGGCACACAGAGGACAGTTTCCTTCAGGGAGCAGGGCCTCACCCACTGGGCTGGCAGATCTCAGAGCTTGGTCCCCGGATGGTGTCTCCACTAGCCCCAGCTGCCACGGGGCCTGGCAGAGGCCAGGGGCTTCTGTTCCTCTCTTGACCCTGCTAGGCTGGTGCTTGTGATTCCCAAGACTGTAGAGCTGCAGCTGCTCCTCTTTACTCTTCTCTGGAATTCTGATTCTGCTCCCTCCAGCCTGATACCAAGGGCCCTGAGCTGGGCCTTGTCAGCTCCCCTTAGCCGCTGCTCCCTGTGAGGCTGGGGCGCTCAGCTGCCCTGGCCTCAGCTCTTTCAAGTCCTCACTGTGCCATTTTTAAGGCCTTTTGCCCACATTGGTACTGCTTAAGTGTTCTGTCCCCTCTGAACAAAGGGACTGAGCCAGACACAGTGCTGGCCAGGTCACCCTGCCTGGCTGGTTTGTAGATGGCACATGGCCTTTATTACCTCCGCCAACACACCAAGGAGAGAAGGGACAGCTGCGTGGGGACTGGGCTGCTGCGGTGGCGGGCATGTTTTTGGGACTTTTCCCTCATCCAGCGGCAGGAGTGGACTCTGTCCCGAGCCAGCGCAGGGCCTCCCCATATGGAAGCCACAGTTAGCAACGCCTGGTACCCAGGCGGCCCACCCAGCCAAGTCCACAGCCAGGCCAGGAGCCAGACAACGCCCAGAAACGGTACCCAGCCCTCCTGTGAGGCATGTGGCCACCCTGCCACGCCCTGTCCTGTCACCCCCACCTCCCTGCTCACCAAGAGCAGCACAGTGCAGTGCAGCAGTGGAGAACCTTCTAAAGCTGTCAATAATAGAACCAGCTCACTGCAGCACACGTGCCATAGGTTCGCCACCGCTGTAGTGGATGAAGTTCCAGGGAGTCCTCTTTGTCCTCAAGGCTAAAAGATTCTAGAACTGAGTCCAGGTGCTGCCGTGTGTTAACTGTCACCGCAGGCAGGTGAGTCAGCTTGAAGAGCTCAGAAAGAGACAAGCAGAGGTTCTTCAGCCATCGGTGCTAAAAACCAGTTTTTAGAAATCTTTCTGATCCTGAAGAAGACCCTAATTACACATTTGGCCACTGCTATAGCACTGTCGGATTGTCCTGAAAGTTCCCAAGTGCCACTCCTGCGCACAGGCGCGTGGTGGGCTACGGGGCACACGGAGCCGCGCTGACGGAGCACACAGGCAGGGCCTGTCACAGCCGCACGGAGCTGCCGAGAGCCACAGCTGCCACGCTTCTGTCATCCTGAGGGGCTGGGCAGGGCCCACCTCTGCCTGTCCCTTGGTGGAGGGGCTGCCCCGCCTCTTCCGCCGGCATGGGGGTTTGGGTGATGCCGCCCACACCCAGTTCATGTCGTGGCTTACCCACGCCCTGTGCTCTTGCCTGCCTGGTCTCCACAGGTCACCACGGACATGTACCAGGTGCTGGTTGCCAACACGTACCAGCTGGAGTGCCGGGGCGTGGTCAAGGTGAAGGGCAAAGGGGAGATGATGACCTACTTCCTCAACGGAGGCCCCCCTCTCAGTTAGCAGCCACCAGCAGTGGCGCCACAGCCCGGGCTCCACAGGAAGGGAACCGGCTGCTTTTGCTCCACGTGGGCAGGTGAGGAGCCTGCACCCGGCCACACCGCCGCACTGAGGAGATTCCCACCTGACTCAGAGCGGCCTCTGCCTTTGCTGGTGGGCATGGCCTCCGGCCCAGGCCCTGGTGCCAGCGTCCTGCGAGCACCAAGCTGACCAAAGATGTTTCCCCTGCAGAAGACTCTGCTGGACTCGGATGAACCTTGTTTTCTGGCAGGTGCCACTGCGCGGTGGAGGGGCGCTGCTGGAGCCCGGCACGTGGCAGCAGGCCCAAGGAGGCCACAGCCTGGACAGTGGGGGCAGGCGGATGCTGGCCCAGGGTACCACGGAGCCTGCAGGTCTGCTGCTCCGGACAGAGGCTGTGCCCTGGCCCCGGGTGGTGCTTGGGGCAGAGTGCTGGCTGTGGAGGGGGCCGGGCCTTCACACACACACACACACACACACACACACACACACACACACACACACACACACACCACAGCGCCCTGTGAGGGAAACTCAACTGATTGTGAGGGGGAGGCAGGCGGATGCCAAGCAAGGAGTGCGGGATCTAAGGAAAAGAAAATATTTATTAAATAAAACACGTTTTCTGTGCCCTTCTTTAGACTATGCTAGTAGTATTCGTGTAAGAGACACAAACAAACCAGGATACCACGGGGGAGGGAGGGTGGGGGTCCCAACTTGTCTTTTTTGTATTTTTTATTTTGTATTATTGAAAGCCTTGGAGATCTAACAGATATACCAAATTCTATATTTTGTAAATTCTCTATATTAGAAAACAGCTGTGCACAGCGGGGCGTGTGTGTGCGTTTGTACCGTATGTCGGTGTGTGCACTGGTGTTTGTGTGTGTGTGTTCATGCTGCACTCCTGCAGGCTCTGTTTCCCTCATTTCAGACTTGGCAGCGTTTGGTTTTCCTAGGTACAACCAGAGCAGGGGCGTGTCACTTGGGGTACCACACATTCAGATGAAGTAGGACGACGACACAGAGATACATTGCCCCATCTCTAACACACACACACTCGCACACACACACATCCCACTTCCCGAGTGAAGTGCAAACAGAATGACAGAAAGCTGCTTTTTCACCCCAAGCTGTGTTGGAGGCAAGAGACACAGCCACACCCTGCGTGGGCAGCTTGGCTTGTTTTGTCTGCCTTTTGTTTTACTGCGGAGGGGGCAGAAATACTGAGGAAAGGAAACCCATTTTGATCACTTCTATGAGGGAGGCAGTGGGAAAATGACGTGCTATCACAGACGCATTCACGCAGTATCCATAGGGCCTGTGCCCAGAGCCCTCAACTGTTTCTCAGGACAGAATCTCCCCTCCCACACGAGTCAGGGAGGGAGGCGGCAGCCCCGCGCCGGCTGCTGAAACATGACTTCGATATGCCCCTGCATCCCCTCACCTTGGAGCCCCGCTCAGAAGCAAAACTGTGGACCCCAAACTGCCAAGCCTGAGTCTGTCCCGTGCTTCTGCTGCTCCATCTTTGAGTTCTGCCCTGGCCTCTCGCTTCTGCCGAAGGGGCCGGCTTCCTCCCCGTGTTCTCGAGTCCCCGCCTCCATCCGGCCGCCACTGGCGGTGGTGGGTGTTCGTTTGGCTTCCAACCTGATACAGTGTGCGTGCTGCATTCATCCTGTGCCCTCGCCGGTCGTGGCCTCGTGGGCCTCCCCACCCCAGCAGTGACTGGTGACAGCGTGCAGTGCTAGCTCTGCGTTCCCTCTAAGGGTGTGCACTCTTTTTACTCCTGCTCTTGCAAAAATGGATACAATTATGATTTCCCATGGAAATTGAAAAGTCTATTTAAATAATTTAACTATTAAACACTTTCACTGGTAATGTGTTCTCGCCTGATTTTTGGGTTGGGCTGGGGTGCAGGGACAGATATTTTAAAACAAGTGAGCCACGCATGTTTATATTTCAAGGGAAAGAAGGGGAAAACAGAAGAACAAAGGCAGTGGGGGGGACCCGAGGCAGGAAGGGATGGGCCACAGGTCAGGGGTGGGCGCTGCTGAGTTTGGTGGAGCAGGGTGCTTGCCTCTCAAGATCAACAGTAGCTGAAGGGAGATCCAGTTATTACAGGGTGCTCTTACTGCACTTCAGATTTTCCAAAAGCCCTTGGGTTTTTCTTTTCTCTTGGGAGGGAATTTTTTTTTGGGGGGGGGTACAGGCAGTGACAATCACTTGCTGTGCAAGGCTCTGTTCTAGGTGCTTTACATTTATCAACTCACTTGATTCTCATAACCACCCCACTTTACATGGGAGTCATAATGCTAGAAGAAGGGAGGGCAGGGAGTCTGGATCCAAACTCTTAATCACCAGTATACGCTGGAAAAAGTTGCCTGCTACTTATAATTAATGCCAGATACAGGAATACTCTACAGCAGAATTCTCATAAAATTACTTCAAGCCAAGGAGCCAACAGATTTCAGCATCCCACTAGTAAAGGTTTGCAACATGACTCACCAATGATGCTTAACCCATGAAGTCAGTTTCACTTCAAATATTACAATGATACCTCCTTGCCCTAGCATCTAAGCACCTAGAAGCCTCCCCATACGTCTTGCAGCCATCTGTACTGCCATTGTTATAAATTGGTTACAAACACAGGAATTTTAGCAAACTATTTTATTTGCCTAGAACAGTTACTAGATGAGGAGCTAGAACTGACATGATCATGTGTAACATTACTTTTGTAATAAAAGAGGATTTCCATACTACATACCTATTCTTAACGTGACGTGGGTAAGAGCATGAGTTCTGAGAAGACAGACCTGTGTTGAAATCCTGCCACCACCAGATGGATTAGAGCACTGTGACGGAGCTCAAGTTGCATGACCTATGTCCATCGTGCCTGCCGTGTAGAATACCTTGCCATCTCCCCTGTTCTCCATGTTGCTTCATCGGCTGTCACTGCTGCTGCGACCATGGTAAGAGCCCAGCTGTTGTCAGCTGCACGCACACACTAAGAGTTTTCTTTCTGAGGTGCACTGTGGCACAGAAAGGTGACCAACTTTTATTTAAAACAAGCCTGGATCAGATGCCACACCCACCAACCAATGTGATATACAAAGGACCAGTTCTTGAGCCATGCCTTTGTTTCCTTGTGTGGAAATGCAATGGTGCCCCTCACTCTGTGCCGCCAGGAAGATGATGTGGCACCCCCACCAGCAGAGTGCTGATAAACATTCCCGCCTTTACTCCTAGGCATTAGAGAACACCAAGTGCAAGGCAGAACACCGTCTGTCTGCCTTTAGGCTAGGCCCCTTCCCATCCAGACTCAAAGCACAGCACTGCACAAAGGAGGCCAGTGACCAAAGCAGAGCTGGACCAGGACAACAGGACCACATGGTAAGTGGACTGTGTGTCCTGTTACTGTCGGAAGGAGCCCCGTGTGTGCCATGAGCCTGCTGGGTGATGCGTGCATCGCTGTGCTGTGGGAAGGAGAAAAGGGCAATGTGAATTGTGGGTGAGGTTGGGCTGGAAATATTGTTAGTTGCCAAGGAAACGCAGAGAAGGATTCTCGAAGCAAGGGTACTGATTTCAGGAACTCTTGCCAACTGTGCTGACGTGACTGATGACACAGCAGCAGTGCCCATGCACAGGACAGTGTGCCCACGTGTCCACACCCCTCACAGGCAGGAAGATGCACGCCATATAGCTTCCGATCACACAGTGTTCCCATGGTCAGTGTGATTTCAACTGCTAAATAGAGTAACCTAGAAAGCTTGGCCACCAAGGAGATCCTGCAAGAGCGGCAGCTGCAGCTACTGCTTCTCTTTGAGACAGTGAAGCCTTAACCTGAGGCTGCAATCTGCCAGGACCTCAGAGCAGCCTAAACACCCATGAGGCTGATTCGACACCTCTAGGCTGGGGAAGACGCAGATATGCCTTAAACTCTCTGCTGGCTCCTCCCCTACCCACAAGCCCCGTCATAACTTCTCAAATCACAGGGGGTTTTCTTACCGCTTTTAGCAAGGGTATTGTTAAAGCCAATTTAAACAGAAGATCAGGTTTTATTTTACCACAGCATTTCTAGGTAGAAAGACTCCATTTCCATAGAGGTAATAATGCAGAAATATACTAAGAAGCTCTGATCGTAGATGAAGAATGCAACTCTGAAGAGTGACCTGTAATCTGTGGTAAAGCTAAGTGCCCATTTGGTCTCAGTGGTAGATGCTTTTGAAATAACTGATTTGTCCTTTTACCACACATTCCACAGTACCTCTAACTTTTAAAGTAAACCAAAGGACTGTTAAAACAGAAACAACTAGAATGGCACATGCGTGCGCACGCGCACACACACACACACACACACACACTTTGCTGTGCTCCATCTAACAGCTTAAAAAGCACCCTTGCGTTCATAACCCTTTTGGAATAAAGGCCAGTCACCTCCTCTGAGTTACAGCAGTGAAGTCCTGAAGGCAAAGCTCTAGTCTTTGCAGTCCCTTGACAAAGCAGCAGCCTAACGGGACTCCAGACCTAGCCCAGCTAGAAATAGAGCCATGCACTTTTCCAGGCTGGATTCTGCTGGGAGAAGATCCGCCTTCATAGCAAAATCGATGTGTTAATGTACAAAAACCACATTCACTTTATATAAATTATAAAATTACAAAATTTGGTAGAGTTTCTCCTTGAGTCGAGTCTCTGCCTTAAATGGATTTTCAAAGATACTTATTTTTAGCTTTGGGCAAGAATTTTTACTGGAACAAAATCTTCTATTAAACACACACACACCCTGAAGTGAAAGCTTTTGAAAAATGGTACAAGTTGAGGACTCAAGGCACAATTACATGAAAACGTGTGTCAAATAATTAAAAATTCTGTTTATTTAGTACTTTGTAGGACCCTCAAATGAGAATCTTTTTCTTTTTTTGGTACCAGGAATTCAACTCACAACCTCACACTTGCCAGACAGGCACTGTGCAGCTGAGCTATATCCCCTGTCCGAGTGAGAATCTTTTTATCAGAATGCTACAGAACAGAGCACCCTACCTTGCCACTAACAGAGCAATGCTTACCTGGCTAACTTCTAGGAAGTCCCAGAATCACATCAGTGACAATAGTGGCAATGCTTTAACCCTTCTTTTCATTTTCATTAATTTTGTTTCTCCTCCCTTTCTGTTCATATTTTATTAACACTGTTTTTATGTCTTCTCTTGGTATGTTGTATTCCCATTGCTCTGGGAAAAGTTTAGATACATTTCAAATACAGAGCAAAAAAGCAGAAATAAAAGGGCATTTTTGCTCTCCTGGCACAATAAAAAAGCAGTATTTCATGGTTTCCTAAATTAAGATAAAATATACTTGTATTTATCTTAGCTACACATCCACCACTTAGACCAAAATATACCCACACATTATATACCTATTAAGGTATACTTATACCTAAGATAAACCATACCTGGAGCAGGCTTGGACTCACTGATTTCAGAATCCCTCAATTACTTGATTTGATCAAGAATCAACATATTCTGTAAGTATAATCTTGATCAGCTTTATTCATCCCGCATTAGTGAAAAAGGCTCTACGTTAGGAGATTAGAGTTGTGTGTGCTTAGCTATGTGGCATAAGTCAATAAGATCTGATCACCTTGGTCTCCTTCCACTTAATATAAGCTACTGTTTACTTGCCTTGAAGTACAAAATTCATTCTAAGGAGATAAACCTGGTTTGCTGTTAAGAAGTTAAAGTATAATATAAATCTAACATATTGGTATCATGGTGAGAGTTAAGCAGGACTGTCAATTCAATTGGCTTTAGAGGTGCCCAAGGGATTAGTAAAACACACTTCTGGGTGAGTCTGGATGGTCATGGAGACATGAGCTCGGGGTCCTGTATCTGGTCCTTGACCTCTTCTTGTCATTGTTCCCTGATCTGCTGGTGAGCTGCCATGAAGGTTGTGCTCCACCACTTCTGCCAAGATGTTTCTGCTTTGGAAATCAACTAACCATGGATCGAACTCTCATAAACCATGAGCCAAATTAAAGCTCTCCTCCTTTAAGTTAGGTGTGTCAGGTATTGTGTCCCAGCAAAGGGAGAGCTGACTAATATAATCATATACCTTAGATGCCAAAGTGATTCTTTCTCGAGAGCCTATGAACTTCTTTAAAAACATGCCCAAAATCTCTTTCCAAATTCGTAATTTCTTGTCAGTGATATGATACAGACAGAAATCTATGCAATCATTCAGGGATGTAGGCACCAAGTAATGAAAGAACGCATTTGTACACATCAAACATTATTTATACCTGTTTCATTTTTTACATTAAGATGTAAACATCCTTTTATCCAAAATAGCTGGTGAAATGAAAAAAAAAAAAAAAAAGAAAACCAAGCCTTTAAAAAATAGCTGGTGAGTTTTTAAATGTCCTTATTGAAGGGATCCAAATACCAAACACTGTAACTCAGTAATTAATTCCACGATCAGGAGATAGCTCCTAAACCAAACCGATAACACTGATAACTTCCTGGTTAATTGATAATTTACAAGAAAGTTTTGTTTAAGCCATTAGTTTAGAACTCTTTTACTTTTTTGGCTCCGTAGGTACAAAATCCCAAACACTGATTTAAGATTATATGACACCTTGGGTACCTCTTTCAGAATATACACACTTTCTCTACAGCCTTGTATGAATATAGAGTGAACTGGAATTGTTTTTAGTAAAATAAATCCTTGACATAAGCTTTGTGCCTTCCTTACATTTCATTCTCCTAAAAGGAGAGGGGAGCCAAGGTTCTAATTAAGATCTTAAACATAGTCTAGCTGTACCCACATATACTAATTCAGGCCAACAAGGCAGCCTGACGACGTTACCCTCCAGTTATTTCTTCCACTTAATAAACATACCCACCAACATGAATTACATATAATGGTGCCTACTGGTTTTCAATACCCTATGAATTCCAATTTTAGAATCTTTTCTTTCAAAACAATGGAAAATTACTCAAGAAGATAACTTCCAAAAGTAGGAGAGCTACAGATTTTACTAATGGAATCGAACTCTGGTTCCTATATCATTAATTTGAAATGCTTGTATATCTTTCTAATGTTTTCAGAAAGTTAGTTTTTTCAAATAGGTGCTTACTTCCCTAAACCTGAAACATAGCCAGAATTGCTAGGGATGTCACCTTCTGATTCCCGGTACATAAGGTCCAGTATTTCCATAGTCAGGTCCACACCATGGCTGACATTATAAGATTGTTTTAGGTGGCTCATGGCACAGAATTAAGTAATGCTGAATCACAGTGAAAATGTCATTCCCTTTAGAATGTTCTTTTACCCTCTGATTACTTCACAGAGTCTCATTTTGGGCAGGCAAGCTCTTTTACAAAGTACAGGCTTCTTAGTTCACAGCCTTGGCAGGCATTAGTATCTAGCTAAAACTTAGCAACATTTTTTGTATTAATTTTATTTATTTTGTGATCACTCTTTTTTTATGGCAAAGTGCCACTGGCTTTCTTCTTACAGCAGGATTTGTTTCTTTTAAAAATACTTTGAAATTTAAAAAGATAAATATTAAATAGAGAATATAGTACTCAAGTGATCAAAACTTGGGAACAATGATTATAGTCTAATGAATCATTTTTAAAAAGTGATTTCAAAAGAAACAAAAAACACGGTTTAAAAAGAAAATATACACCATTGTACTTCCAATACTTGTGAGGTTCCAGAGACAAACTCACCACAGCTTTCTCCTGTATCAGGTGATTTCCAGAGTTAGGACTTGGGCAAAACCAGAAAAGCAATACACCCAGTTCTACACCACCCTGAACTCCTAAAATCTTACTACGATAAATATACAAATAATCTGATATTTAGCACAATCTTTTGTTTCAAAACATGTACGTTCCAATTTCTGCAGCATCTTTTTATTTGGTCTATAGTGATGCCTCACGAAGGCAAACTCCGAGTGCAGTGCCTGCTTGGTCCTCAGCAATTCCAGGCCGTTGTTTTGACTGAGCTCAGGTGAGGACTCAGGACAGCTAGCCAGGTCTTCTGGTAGAGTCTGACGTCTTCCATTCTTATGGCTATGAAGAGACAAGGCTCCTCCTCTTCCTCTCTACAAGCTCACTGCCGAAATTCTTCAGAGAAGAGCTTCCCTACGAGGTCTTGCATGCTCACAGGCATGCTATGCTGATTTAGAAACAGGAAAATTGGAGAAAACGAATACAGAGCTTCTCATTTGTGGTGACTGGTTTCTTCATCACAGTGGCAGTTAAGATATGTCCCCTCCTTTTCCCCTGAAGCCAAGGCAACACATCTGAAGAATGTCAGACATCATAATCGGGAGCCTTGCCCTGGGCTTGCCTCAGCCAGATCTGCAGAGTGACAAATGCTCCCACAGTCACATGAAAGAAAAGCTGCCAGAGGTTGCGTAGTTCATAGAGATACATGTTGCATAGACAGATTAAGCCAAAAGTCAAAAAAGATTTGACATTCCGCCAGCCGGTGTAGTAGACAAGTAAATAACACTGTTCAAAATATAAAAATGAAAGATGATTAAGGCTGTAAGAAACAGATGTTCCTAATAAAAATTGTAATAGATCTGAGAATAAAATATGTGACCAGAATAAGGGTATTTTTCATTGAAGGATAAGATAATGTAACATATAAGATATTCAGCTATGAAAGTTCTACAGCTTGAAAGGGAAATGGATTTTTCCTTTTATGTCTTTCATTTTTCAAAAGAGAAGCATTTCATAGCACATTTTAAATGGAAGTACAACTGGATGATTCCTTTGCAAACAGGCTAGGCGAATTCTCCAAGGTAACAGGTAACCAACATATGTTGCCAGGGACAAAGGTTGCTCCATTCTCACCCCAAGAAGTACCAAAAGCTTGTGTAAGTTATTCGGTAAAGTGGTCTCTAGTATAACCTGAGTGTATTAATGAAATCAACAAAATTTAACTGGGATTCAGTGAGGGGAAGAACTGTGTGAAGCACAGGATCTGATGCAATTCTTCAGTTGTGTGTTTAAGCAGGCACTGCTATAAATCAAGCACTGTTCTTCAGTTGTGAGGGAAATAAATGAAGCTCTTGCTCACAGTTTACATCTTAATGGGGGAGGATTATAAACATTTTAATAAGACTTATGTTTTGAAAAAGAACAAAAAAAGGGGTCAGAGGAGGACAATGAGTAAGTAGAGAAAGAACCCCCACCAACCTTGGCATGTCCCCTTTCCTGCTTTATTTTTCTCCACAATATATTACAAACATACTTGAAAAACACGTTTATTTCGTCATCTGCTATTATTTAAATCTAAAATTCCCCAAAAGTCTTGTGTTCAGAGGTGGAGCCTGGTTGGAGGGGGCAGATCACTGGGGGCGTGACTTGGAAGTATATGTTCTGTCCCTCCCTCCTTCCTTCCCTCTCTCCCTCTGTCCCTCTCTCTCCTTCTGGATGCCACAAGATGTGCAGCTTTTCTCCGTCATATCCTTTCCATCATGCTATTTCTGCCTTGAAGCCAGCTACCCATGGACTAAACCCATTGGAAACTGCGAGCCAGATAAACTGCTCCTTTAAGTTGCTGGGCGATAAGCATTTTACCTTAGCAATGGATAAGGGAACAATACATCATCTCTAGACTCCCAATAAAATCTCGTGCCTCTCCAGTAAGTTTCGTGAGGGATTGTAGTTAGGATTAGGCTTAGGGTTACTGGCTGCTTGTACAATCATTTTATCTTCAGTATGTAGAACAGGGCCTGGTGCACAGTCAGTCCTCAATAAAATTTGTTGAATGAATGAACTATTCTCTAGAAAAGGTCTAAAATTCACAACCCAGCAAACATAGGAATTACATGTGATCAGAGTCTTTAGAAAAAAGCATAGGTCTTTGTGAAATTATATCCAGTCTTCAGAATGGAAAAGACAAAAGGGTTTTTATTCTATTAAACAGGTTTTGTTCTTATATAAGTTAGAACTCTGCTTATTTAAAAAGAATGCTTTGCTAAACAAGCAAAAGGAATTGAAAGCAATTACTTTATCTGAATGATATGCACTGTGGAATAGAAGGTTAAAAAATGGAAAAGTAGATTTTTCTTTGAAATAATTTTAGAATTAGGGAAAAGGTACAGAAACAGTAGAGTTCTACTACCATCTTCATTCTGTTTCCCTAATGTTCCCTTCTTACATAACCACAGAATAAACATCAAACCGGGAAATTAGCCCTAACACAATACTACTAAGTAATCAACAGGCTACATTCGAATGTTGTCTGTTGTCCCACTAGGGTCCTCTTTCTGGTCCTGAGTACAATCCAAGATTATGGACTATATTTAGTCATCATGTCTTCTCCAATCTGGAACAGCTCCTCAGTCTTTGTTTTTCATGACCATGACAGTCTTAGAGTATTAATGAATTAATTCCTCAGTTTGGGTGTATCTACTGTCTTTTTAAGATTAAACTGAGGACATGCAATTTTGGCAAGAATACCACCGAGGTGATAGTCAATATGTCTTATATCCGGTAATGTCAATTCTGATCACTTGAAAAGGTGGTGTCTGCCAGGCTTCCACAGGCTGAAGTCATTCTTATTCCTTGTGTATTGTAAGTATCTCCTGGGGAAATATTTTGATGTAAATATCTCATCACACTTTACTCACTATTTCCATATCCATTGATTCTTGCTGTAAAAGCTATTACTGTATTTGTCTGTCTACATTTATTAATTATGTAATTAAATAAAGAAGAACTTTTCTGAAATTAAAAACTAGTACTTAATTCATGGTATTTTAGGACCTTACAAAGTAATGGTTTTAAGGACTTTAGAAAGTAATGAATTACTTAGTAATTACACAGAAGGAAGTATTTTTGCAATGCAGAGGTATGGTAGATACAACTTTAACTAAATGACGAAACTTAATTATGTTTCCTGATATAATGAGAGATACACAACATCCTACACTAGATGATTCTATTCCCAAAATGTTTAACTTGAATATAATGATGAGAAAACCAGACCAATCCACATTATGGGCCATTCTACAAGATACTTGCTTAGACCTGTCTATGTTATTAAAGCCAGGTGGAATTACACCTGTAATTCCAGCACTCAGGAGGCAGAGGCAGGAAGATTGCCTTGAGTTTAAGGCCAGCCTAAACTACATAGCAAGACTGGTCTCAAAAAACTAAAAAAGTTCCTGTTATGAAAGATAACAACAAAACAGATAACAAAAGGCTAGGAGATTGTATTATAGATTAGAAGATACAAAACTAAACACATGCATAATCCTGCATCAGGGAAAAAAGTGCAAAAAAGAATATTTTAGAGATAACTGAAATGATCTGAATAAAAATCTTACACTAGATAATATTGTAGCAATGTTAATATTTTCGGGTGTGGCATGGTGCCATGGCTATGTGGAAGAATGTCTATGTTCTTAGAAAATGCATGCTTACGAAAATATGAGTCTGTAACTTACTGTAAATCAACAAGCACAGAGCATTCTGTTTCTGGGATGATAGAATAGATACTCTGTCCTGCTCTTTCCATTAAGTACAACAAAAAATGCTGCAGATTATAAATAAAACAAAAATAAGACACTGAATGGTAAAAAGAAGACAGACAAGCTAAGGACCCTGACAGGAAAAGGCACAGCGGCAATTTCCCTGGGTTTCCCTTTTGCCTTCCTTTTTTTCATACTTTGAGCTGAAGAGGCTGACATCTAGAAATGTCACCAGATATATAACAATAAAAACAGAAACAAACAAAAACTCCCTACAAAAAAACCCAAAGCAAAAAGCTCAAGATCCTGGCCTTTCTAGCAAATACTAGGAAAAATGCACCTTAATAAGATAGAAACATGTAGGCAAAAACTATTATACACAAGAAAACCTGTTTCCCACCATATCCGTATTATCAAAGTCCGAGTGGGGGAGGCTAGAATTCTATACAGAGTTCTGGTCCTGTGTAAGCTTCCAGAAGGCAAGCAAGACTTCATTCTCATAGGATGGTATCATGTTCTCCTTCTTTTTCCCCACATTGATGTCACAAGAGACCACAAGTCACCCTGGACATTTACTTCCACTTGTCAGTAATGAAGCAACAGATCTCTCACCATTAACAAGACAGTGTTAGGATTTTTTGTCAGGAATCACAGACACCAGAAAAAGGTAGAACAAGTTTTCTCAAGTGCTGAAAGAAAAGAATTGTCAACCCAGAATCCTACATCCAACAAAAATATCCTTTAGGAATGAAGGGGCAACGGACTCTCTTAGAGGAGATTTTGTCAGCAGCAGATGTACCCTCAAGGAAGAATATCCTCTAAACAAAAGGAAACAATAAAAAGGAGGAATCTTGAAATATTAGGAAAGAACAAAGAACACAGTAAGCAAAAATACACTTAAGTACAATAGGTTTTTCTTTTCCTCTTAAGTTTTTCTAAATTATGTTTCATAATTGAAGCAAAAATTATTCTAGTATTATCTGCTGTGTTTTACAATATATGTAGAAGAAATACGTAAGATAATTGTAAATAATATTGGGCAAAAGAATGTCTAGGGAATCACTAGAACTGGTAGGTAAGGCAGCAATCCTAAATGTATATGAACCAAACACAGCTGCACAATCTTGAAACAAAAGTAGAACTAAAATGAAAAGAAAAACCATCAATTCAATACTCTTCTCTCAGTAAGTGCAGAAATTTGAAATTGAAAACAGAAAAACAGTATTAAAATTAACAAAATTAATAGGTGGTTACTCAAAAAGACCAGTGAGGGGCTGGGGACTTAGCTCAGTGGCACAGCGCCTGCCTGGCAAGCACAAGGTTGTGAGTTCAGTTCCCGGTACCGGAAAAAACCACTCCCACAAAAAAGACCAGTGAAGTTGAAAATGACAGAAGCAAGACTGATCAAGAAAAAGAGAGAATTCAGGTTATCAATATCACTATAGGAGATATTACTACAGATACTACAGACATTGTAAAGGTAATAAGGAAATACTACGATAGACTTTACATACATAAATTTGATAACTTAGATGAAATAGACAACTTCCTAAAAAACCATAAACTACCATAATTCACTCAGTATGAAACACGTGATTTGAATAGTGCTGTTAACAAAATTGAATTTAAGGTGACTTATATAGCTATAGTAATCAGGACTGTGTCTATAGTGGATAGACACATAGACCAATGATACATAATTCAGAACCCAGAAACATTACCACACAAATATCCCTACCTAAATTTTCAAGTACAAACACAACTCAATGGAGAAAAAAATAACCATTTAAACAAATAGTGCTGAAGCAACTGACCACCTATAGGCCAAGGGGGCAGGGAGAATCTGCACTTTACATCTCCTAGAAAACATGGATCAACATCTTTAAAATGTAAAACTATAAAACTTT